GTAAATAGTTTTTTTTTATTTTACATTTTCTACATACGGAATTTACTACACAACACAAATATTTGTCCAATCACAGAATAACCACAACAGTCAGGGGTCTCCCCTTCGCTGCCAAATATGATCGTAAGTTCAGAGAACCACTTACGTACCAGACCCATTATTGGCAAACTAATTTTATAATATTTAACAGTTAAGTAACTTCTATCTCAGTATTCTAAATATTTTATTTTTCAAAGTTGGTATTTTATCATGAAAAATAACAATAGTATCATCCTTCTTCACAAGCTCACCAATTAATCTACTTTACCTAGGGATGAGTGAGTGGTGACCCAAATTGCTACGGTACGTTTTGTGTGTCGGATAACGTGGCAACCGCGATGGTATCCTAAAGCGAAACTTACTCAGGAGCATAGGATCATCAAATATACCATTCAAAATCTTACAGAACAAACTCCTACTCTGAGGTAATGGGTTCAAATCCCTATAAGGGGCAAAGATTTGATGATGATTGGTGAAATATAAACAATACCATGACTTATTTTAAATATTGCTTTATTTTGTATGTACATTTAAATTCAAAATTACATTAGTGCGATTGCGTATTTCCATTTCAAGCATAATGGGGTTTATCAGTATCTAATATTTGTCGTCTAAATTTTAGTATTAAAGAAAGAAAAAAGTGTTGAGATTTCAACAAATATTTTGGATTTTGGATTTCAAGGAGTTCCTACTGGAAACTTTTTTTAAGCTGCCGTAATATAACGATTTGCTATCTCATTTTCGATTCGTATCTTCACTGGCACAACTTATATACCCCATCATCCTTTATTCTTACAATTACAAACACAATAAAAAGCAATCAACTAAATTTGTAGAGCCATCCCGAAATAAAGTCTTTCATACATGTTGAAATATTTTTCAATAATATACAAGATTCAATTCATGGAACTTCTTTCGTCGAAATTCAAACTTAGGCAAAAGGATAAAATAGCATTATTGTTACATTCGTTTCTTTTGAGGTATTATTTTATATTATAGCACTTAGGTGTACAACCACTCTCTTGCACTTTGTGGTATGTCAATACAATGCGACAGTTAGGGTATAGTCCGTTAAAAACTTTATGACGGTGTGAAGTTAGCAACGAGCGAATGATCCCGCGCGCACCTACATCACCCTACATTTCGTTTACTGCGCCGCGACTTGCACTAACTTCACAGCCGTCATTAAGTATGAATCGTATCGAATAAAATTTTGGAAATCCGAGGACCAAGCATTAACTTGGACAGCTCCGTAATCATAAAACATCGTCAAACTTTCTATGAAACATCTTCTTCATACTCATCTTGATTCGTTGCTATCGAACCTTGCGATTTTGTCGAAATTTTTTACCACGTCCGACAAAACTGTGGTATATCACCAGCAGTCAGTGGCGGGGCAAGACCTAAATTTGATGTGGGCAAGACAGATTTCGCGAGAGATGGCGTAGCTTTTCGACATTCACAAGTGCTTGTAACAGCCTAGACTGAATAAATGACTTTTCATTTCATTTTGATTTTTTTTGAAAAAGAACAAACTGGCTCTTTCTATACCAATTATTACGATAACGATACGATTACGGAGTCAAAGTTCCCGCTCGGGCCTCGGTTCCCAAACTGTATCCTATAATCCGGCAATCTGTTACTATTTTCCCCGAAAAACATATTTAATTCAAACTCAACCAAAAGTGGTGTTGCCGTTTGGCAATATTTATGGCATTATAGCTAATAGGTATAGGAATCATTAAATTATGGCATAGCCCTTTTATCACTTTGCCAACAATAACAATTTTTCACGTTATTCACTCACAAAACCTACACAAAATGTAAGGTTTTTATTGCTCAATTTAAAAATATCAACCTTTGATCACCGCACAGACGTAACACAACTACATTTTAAATACACTGTCGTAAATGTAGAAACTATAAATTGACTACGAAAATAATATGTATGTATGACATTTTTTAATATTCTCACATTCCATTAATATTATATTTTCTAAACATAACCTGTATATTTCATTAACACTTAGATATAAAGAATACCTTCAACTATTAACCAAAAAAGTATTGGCGACTCAAAACTTATGAAGGAGAGACAGAGAAAGAGAGAGAGTAGTACCTGCGTCTCTTTCTTACGAATATACACAAAAGAACTTTCCGTTTTCACAACAATATAAAAATTAACAATATACGATAAAATCTTAGAGCCTACCAAGTAAAGTCATGTTGTGGTGGGGCTATAGGATAGGAGTGCTTTTTATTTATTTATTTATTTTTGAGAAACCAACAGCGATACAAATAGATATAACATAATTGAACTTAGTAATAAGAATGGCCAATAACAGGTTTCTACGAATTAAATTAGGTACAAAAACTGTCGTTGTGCAGGCTAAACTAAGGTTACATGTAGGTATGCATTTAATAATGCCAGGTCGCGTGAGAACGTTGCAAGGCGGCTATTAGTGTTGATACTTTAATTTGGATATTTTAACCCCCGACTTAAAAGAGAAGTGTTATGTTTGACGTGTCTATGTAAGTGTATCTGTTTGTCTATCTGTGGCATCGTAGCTAGCTGCTAAACGAATCCACCGATTTTGGATGCGATTTTTTGATTTGATAGCTGACATGATCGAGATGGTTCCCAGCAACGATATTAAATAATCCTAGATACACCACGTGCGCTCTAAATGTGTCCCAATCAAGAAGTGCTTATACGCGACTCAAGCACTTCTTGGTTCACAGTGACGCGCGGACCGTTGAAAAGTCAACATAACGCAGAACTCCGGAAATAAATGGGAAAAAAGAATATGGTACGTAGTGTTGTGTTTTGGTACCTATCCAATCAACGTTTGATAACTAAACGGATTTGAAGCCAACTTACTATAAACTGATTTAATAGAAAACATTTGTGATATTCAAATGCATGGTCTGTTCTATACCCGTCTCTTTTCCTCGCGCAAAGTACCTGCTATATTACTAACAGCGCAAACAGAATTACAATATAGTCATAGAAACAAAATCTACATTCTTCCGCCTATAGCAAGAAGTCGTAAAATTTTACGAGCTTGCATTTCGTACTGTCATAACTGTTTGACGCATGCGTTTAAATTAAGACCTTATTTAGTATGTATTAATGGTAATTTTGAATGTTCATATAATGCTTTATATTGCTTTTGACTACGCGATCATCTTAAGGAGCTTCGTGGGTTTTAATGTACCTTTTGGACAGGTTTCGGCCACGATTTTGTACCTAATATTGTATCAAGGGTATTAAATATCGTTGGTTCTCAGCTTCAATTATTATGAAGATCTGCTCAGGGGTTTGGAGATCATCAACTCATTTCCCATTTGAGAAGAGGGTCCCAAAAATTGATTGGTTGATTTAGAATTTGGTGTACTTTCACTTTGGTCCATTTCACCAAGAAATGGTTAGGTGATGGCACAGCATCAAGTACTAAACTCTTCAGCTACTTACAGTGGATCATGTTTGGGCTCATAAGAATGGTCTCAATGAAAAAAATAAAATCGAAGGGTTGTTTGTAGTGTATCTGTCGCAGTATGATAGATAAAGCCGTAATATAGTTATGTCCCTAGTAAAATAATTATATACCAAGCGATTCATTACTATCTTACTATTTTTAATATGGAATCTATTACAAACAACACAGAATAACTCGGAACTCGATGCGGAGATAACCCGTTTCCACGCTGATATTTGTGATGATTGCACGTTAAGTTTTATCATTTTAAAATTAAGACACAGAGGAAAATCTTTGCACCTCTTTAGAAGCCATTTTGCGCACAGAGAAAGGTGAGATTTTGCATAATGAAAGTTACACGAAAAAAGAGTGCAGAATGCTAATATTTTTATATATTAGAATTTATAAAAAACAACATTACACACACTCCCGGTCATCTGACATACACAATGGTCTGTGACCTATATAAAAAAAACTTAAGATTTTGAAGTTGTATTTCTTTTAACTCGTTAGGGAAAATTTTCGAAAGTGCATTTTCAAAACACAATTTCATTGTTTCCATAACTCCTGTATAGCTGGCAAGAACCAAACCAAAAACCAAAGAGCCGCCAGAGGGCACAATATTTTAACAAGTATAACTTCTAACGTGCGTACATAAATACACACCATTTTTTTTATTAAGTAGTCTAATAATAATAATAATTCATTTATTGTGTCTGAATTAAGTTTTGTGTCATCCATACTAGTTTTCCCATTTGAGTCCGCATGTATTATATCTCGATTAGATTTGGCTTATTTTGTCTCAAACACATAGAGAATGGAGTTCATAATACCATAAGCAACAACCATAATATGTACAGTAAAAGGTGGTACTTAGAAAAGCATAATCATTATTATGGATCCTTATGGTTTGGGACTGCCCAGTCCATTTTTCACTCTGTCAAACTGACGTGGCCAGTTATACTGAGAGTTGTTTAGGGATCGCGCAGTCCACTCTCCATGCCTCTTTAATTATATACACGCCAAGATACCGCTTTAACTGCACGGAAGCGCCAAAAAAAATATCTACTACATATGGTAGATACACACGCATACATCAGACTGCTTTCAAGTAATCTGACATTAGAGTGACGCACACATTGTGCGTAAAATGAGCCGTTTTTTCTGTAAAAAGGGTTGCCAACATCCACTATAGCCTATAGACGCTAGCGGCCAAATGCGAGTCGGTCTCGCGCATCGAGGGTTCCCTACAAACATGTGGGTATATTATAAAAATTATTAAAAAAAATATTGTTTATTATATGATGTAACTGAAAATTTACGGTTTTCGCACTTATCGCCTTTATCTGTACTATAAAACGTTACTTCGTACCAAATTTCAAGATTCTAAGTTCACGGGAATATATATTTCTGAATATTCGTTATGCGTCATTATTTCTGAATAATGACGCATATTTCTGAGTAATGACGCAACCTGTAAAGGATGCGAAACGTCAATAAATAAATAAATCAGTGCATCTATACCGTTTTAACTTTTTTTTTAATGGGTGGTGTGCGTGAAAACCTAAGAATAAGAAAGAAATTTATTTGGATTTCTCTATCTAGGCGTGTATTTAATCAATGCTGTGTCTATTACGGCTTTGTCTACAGTTGTCCTATTCCCATCTGCTGCGTTTGCCGCTCTTCCGCACTCGGTCAGCCTTGTCTTGGTCCTGCTGCGAGGCCGCGGGCTCGTTGACCCCGGGCTGGATGGAAGCCAGTGTCTGTTCCCAAGAATGGTCCGTCGATGCGGTAAACTGGGAACAAACAATTAAGACTCAAATCAACTAAATTTACTTAACAATTCGCCTGTCTACTGTGTCATGAGCACGAACCATTATCGAAATCGAATAACACACACAAAACTTGTAACTTTTTTTTTATTGGTAAAAATGTAAACTTTTTTTTCTTTCTCGTTTTTTTTTATAGATAGTTCCGACAAATGACTCCACACCACCTGATGTTAAGTGAAGGTGAAATCAGGACACGAAGATGATACAGCAGTTCTACCTGCCACACCAGCCATCCTCACATGTTGCTTCTTCACGCCTCTTTTAAAGGATCCCAGGTTGTAAGAGGGAGGGAACACGTGAGCGGGCAGAGCATTCCATTTACGGATAGTACGACAAAGAAATGAGTCACCAAGTTTATTTGTACGCGTTGGAGTTGTAGCCACAGTTAGACGGTGACAACGTAGGCCAGCGCGCGTGGTCCTCTGAAGGAAAGGAGAAGGTGGAATAAGTGAGAATAACTCCTCAGAATACTCGCCGTGGTACAGACGATAGAACGCGCTTAGTGACGCCACGTTACGGCGTAATTGAAGAGGCTCGAGGTGTTTAGTCACCTCCTCATCGCCTATGATGCGAATCGCGCGCCGCTGTAACCTATCCAAAGCATCGAGCAAGTACTTGGCGGAGCCATCCCAGAGGTGCGAGCAATATTCCACGCAAGACCGCACCTGCGTCTTATACAAAAAGCACAGTTGCTCGGGCGTGAAATCTGAATTTAACAATCTGAACTCCTTTATATGTTATAGTGGAAACTTTACTGATGTATGTTTTGTTAATTAGATCTAGGTATAAATATTATTTCATTGTTTGTTTCCCAAATAAAGATAAAATAAATAAAATAAAAAAGTTGGTGCTACTAATTTTTAATTCTCGCTACGTCCGTTGCGGTGCTTTTCAAGTTTCCATACAAAATTTCTCGATGACGATTCGCACTCGCAATCGTAAAGAATTCAACAGGGTACAGTTACCTTTGCACGCACCAATATCGAATTGTCATAGTTGAATTCGATATCAATACGCGTTAAATATCAAGAAATCTGTCCCAGCAGTGGGCAAAGACTTGATACCTAGTTAGATTGCAATCGGAAGGCCTGTTTGAGTGAGGCCAGGCGGTCGATAGTAAGCCCCTTATTATAATCTTGATTGTATGTTGTGGTTACCTGGTTATATTGCGATCGGAAGGCTTATTTGAGTGAGGCCAGACGGTCGATAGTAGGCCCCTTATTATACCTTGATTGTGTGTTATAGTTACCTGGTTATATTGCGATCGGAAGGCCTGCTTGAGTGAGGCCAGGCGATCAGTAGCAGGCCCCTTTTAATACTTTGATTGTGTGTTATAGTTACCTGGTTATATTGCGATCGGAAGGCCTGCTTGAGTGAGGCCAGGCGATCAGTAGCAGGCCCCTTTTAATACTTTGATTGTGTGTTATAGTTACCTGGTTATATTGCGATCGGAAGGCCTGCTTGAGTGAGGCCAGGCGATCAGTAGCAGGCCCCTTTTAATACTTTGATTGTGTGTTATAGTTACCTGGTTATATTGCGATCGGAAGGCCTGCTTGAGTGAGGCCAGGCGATCAGTAGCAGGCCCCTTTTAATACTTTGATTGTGTGTTATAGTTACCTGGTTATATTGCGATCGGAAGGCCTGCTTGAGTGAGGCCAGGCGATCAGTAGCAGGCCCCTTTTAATACTTTGATTGTGTGTTATAGTTACCTGGTTATATTGCGATCGGAAGGCCTGCTTGAGTGAGGCCAGGCGATCAGTAGCAGGCCCCTTTTAATACTTTGATTGTGTGTTATAGTTACCTGGTTATATTGCGATCGGAAGGCCTGCTTGAGTGAGGCCAGGCGATCAGTAGCAGGCCCCTTTTAATACTTTGATTGTGTGTTATAGTTACCTGGTTATATTGCGATCGGAAGGCCTGCTTGAGTGAGGCCAGGCGATCAGTAGCAGGCCCCTTTTAATACTTTGATTGTGTGTTATAGTTACCTGGTTATATTGCGATCGGAAGGCCTGTTTGGGTGAGGCCAGGTGGTTTGTAGCGAGACCCTTATTATACCTTGATTGTGTGTTATAGTTACCTGGTTATATTGCGATCGGAAGGCTTGAGTGAGGCCAGACGGTCAATAGTAGGCCCCTTATTATACCTTGATTGTATGTTATAGTTACCTGGTTATATTGCGATCGGAAGGCCTGTTTGAGTGAGGCCAGGCTGTCGGTAGCGGGCCTTCTTAATACCTTGATTGTATGATATAGTTACCTGGTTATATTGCGATCGGAAGGCCTGTTTGAGTGAGGCCAGGCGGTCTGTAGCGAGACCCTTATTATACCTTGATTGTGTGTTATAGTTACCTGGTTATATTGCGATCGGAAGGCCTGTTTGAGTGAGGCCAGGCGGTCTGTAGCGAGACCCTTATTATACCTTGATTGTGTGTTATAGTTACCTGGTTATATTGCGATCGGAAGGCCTGTTTGAGTGAGGCCAGGCGGTCTGTAGCGAGACCCTTATTATACCTTGATTGTGTGTTATAGTTACCTGGTTATATTGCGATCGGAAGGTCTGTTTGAGTGAGGCCAGGCGGTCTGTAGCGAGACCCTTATTATACCTTGATTGTGTGTTATAGTTACCTGGTTATATTGCGATCGGAAGGCCTGTTTGAGTGAGGCCAGGCGGTCTGTAGCGAGACCCTTATTATACCTTGATTGTGTGTTATAGTTACCTGGTTATATTGCGATCGGAAGGCCTGTTTGAGTGAGGCCAGGCGGTCTGTAGCGAGACCCTTATTATACCTTGATTGTGTGTTATAGTTACCTGGTTATATTGCGATCGGAAGGCCTGTTTGAGTGAGGCCAGGCGGTCTGTAGCGAGACCCTTATTATACCTTGATTGTGTGTTATAGTTACCTGGTTATATTGCGATCGGAAGGCCTGTTTGAGTGAGGCCAGGCGGTCTGTAGCGAGACCCTTATTATACCTTGATTGTGTGTTATAGTTACCTGGTTATATTGCGATCGGAAGGCCTGTTTGAGTGAGGCCAGGCGGTCTGTAGCGAGACCCTTATTATACCTTGATTGTGTGTTATAGTTACCTGGTTATATTGCGATCGGAAGGCCTGTTTGAGTGAGGCCAGGCGGTCTGTAGCGAGACCCTTATTATACCTTGATTGTGTGTTATAGTTACCTGGTTATATTGCGATCGGAAGGCCTGTTTGAGTGAGGCCAGGCGATCGGTAGCAGGCCCTCCCTGAGCCTTTTCCACCGTCGCCGACGGAGTGTCGTCGTTGTGTTGAGGCAGGCCTGGACGCTCTTTATACCTGAACGGAGAAGAAAATATACCGTCAAACTCTAGGAAAACCACTTTTTATGGTCCGACTATGAATCACGTGAGGTTCAAAAATGAGAGGGGTTCAAGGAGGGGCTGTTCCTTGTTCCTTGTGACATTTGGTGATTTTTATCCGAATACAATGAGATGTCACGTGAATTTATTCGTCGTTGTACGCACGATTCCTGAACAACATAGCAGCGGCGCGTGGCCAGGCAACGATTTAAATATTATAATGGAGAGGGGGGGGGTTCAAAGTTGCTTAAATAGCATCACGTGCTTAATGGATTCCCATAACTTATTATTGTTTACAATATTCATGATGGCTCCCAAAGACCCAAAGAAAAAGTGAGAAAGCATCTAGGTATCTGTAGCCACACATACTATTATATATACATTCCATTGACGACCTCCGTGGCCGAGTGGTTTATACGCCGGGTTTCATGGCGTCACCGACTCGAGAGGTCCCGGGTTCGAATCCCGGTGGGGGCAGATGTTTGTGTGATGTATTCGAGCATTTGTACTCCAGTCATGGATGTTTAATATGTATTTCATATAAATATACTTATATATGTATTCTATCCGTTACCCTAGTATCCCATAACACAAGCCTTTACAGTGCTTACTTTGGGGCTAGGCTAATTGGTGTGAGTGTTGGAAATATCTATTTATTTATTTTTCCCTTTTTGTGGAAAAAATGCAAGTCGCATATTATATGGGACTCTCTTCCGACGTCTTACCCTAAACCGCAGCCGCCAACGTTGAGGTTCTTCCCCTTGCCCTTCTTGAAACGGGACTTGCGGAACCACGCAGACTGCATCGCCAAATTCAATAACTCATCCGGCACTTCCTACATAAAACATACAATAAAAAAAAAACATGAATTAGCGAGTGTTGTGCCAATCAGAGGATAATATGATATCTTAACAAATAACAAAAAAGGCCCGTGGGTCCCCTGAGTGAAACGCAAACCTGCCTGCCAGAATACCAGCGCTGTTACGGTGGGAATATTCCCGTCCCATTGTAACAGCATTAAGCTGAGGCAGGGTCCTAATTGGCCTTTCTTCTTTCTGCATATTGTTGTTGTCTGTTTATCTTTATCGGTATATAATTTCTTATTGTTACATACTTGTGTTTTAAGGCCAATAAATGATTTTTCTTTCTTTAAACCAAAGCTGACCGCAGATTCGGATTTAGTGACCTGAAATTACTACGTGACCCAAGTTTCTAAGCTCAGATCAGAAGAGGAAACAGAAAGTCCATGCAGACATACAGACAGACACGAAACACGTTATATATTCCAATATAGATATTAATAACCTACGCTTTGCAGATGACACTACCATAATTGGAGCCAACGAAAGTGAACTTGCTGAGCTTTTGCAAAGAGTAGAGACAATAAGTGCTGATTACGGTCTCAAAATAAATCGTGCCAAAACTAAGCTGATGTTTGTAGATAGAGCGGGCACACTACAGAGAACCTGGGAGCTGCAGGATCTGGAAACCGTAAAGGAATTTATTTACCTTGGTTCTATGATTACCAGTGACGGCGACTGCGAAAAGGAGGTTGTAAGGCGAGCTCAGATTGCAAAATCGGCTGTAAAGCGGTTAGAAAAGGTTTGGAGGAACAGAGGAATAAGCAAGACGACGAAAGTCAAACTCATGCGGACCCTTATCTTTTCTATATTTCTGTACGCTTCAGAGACCTGGACGCTAAAGGCACGTACTCGAACCAAGATCGACGCGTTTGAGATGTGGTGCTGGCGGAAAATGCTAGGGGTTTCTTGGACAGAGCACCGCACCAACATTTCTATTCTCTCCGAACTGGGCATAACATCCCGCCTGTCTTCTGTATGTATGCAGCGACTTCTTCAGTACTTCGGACACGTGGCCCGACGAGAACCAGACAATCTTGAAAAGCTTATCGTCGTAGGTCATGTGGAAGGAAAAAGGAGCCGCGGAAGATCACCCGCCCGATGGACTGATGCAGTCAAAGAAGTCTGCCAAACTGACATTCAGTCATCTATCCGGTTGGCTGAAAACCGCAATACGTGGAGGGAGCTGGTACACCGGGTGCCCTCATGCTGTCGCGACCCTCAGTCATGAGGTTACGAGGAAGAAGAAGAATTGGCATGTTATTTGAAGCATCCTGGCATGATTCTATACTTTGATTATAAATTATTAATTCGTAATTCTTTTATTATAAATTATTTGTTATAAACTATACCAAATATCGAAGAGCCGGATGGCGCAGGTGGTTATTGCATTCAGCCTGCGATCGCTGAAGTTGAGCAACTTTCGCAGTGGTCGGTCATTGGATGGGTGATCAATAATTTTCTATCTCCAGCTCCTCCGTGCTTCGGAAGGCATGTTAAGCCGTTGGTCCCGGCTTCGTCTGCAGCCGTTAGCACCTACCAATCCGCACTGTGCCCGCGGGTCATGGTCCAATCTCCCTATTCCCTCCATAGGAAAGGGATGTATATAATATAGTCTCCTACTATATTGGGGAACAAATATTATATTCCTAAAAAAAAAATATAGTAGGTGAAACTAATATATTTTGCTTAAAGCAGATTTTTGCCAGTAAAAGCATTCTAGCATCAAAAGTAAAGGCAAAGAAGAGCAAAGATATATTCATTTTAAAAATAAAGTAGATATTTTAAACCCACACTATATTTTTTTCCATCTTCTTACCATCTACTATATTTTGATAGGTAATAGCTTCGAAAATACTATATTTGATATACCTGTGCCCCAGCAGTGGGAACATTAATAGGCTGATGATGATGATACCAAATAATATCAAATACAACTATGGGTAAGGGAAACAGTAACTCATATAAAAATGGCTGACCTGTTGCGCTCCCTCCAGATTCCTAAGCAGATGTCCGGCAAAGTCCTTGTCCTTATGTCTCTCCATCAACGTGTAAGCATCCCCCCTGACCCCCGCCCTCCCGGTGCGTCCCACTCGGTGCGTGTGGGTGTCAATGTCCCGGGCCACGGTATAGTTCACCACCGTACGCACGTGGGGGATGTCCAGACCGCGAGCTGATCACCGGAAAATAAAGTCAATTGAGTATCTCCTCTTCTTCAACTTCAACAGTTTCTGTTCTCAGGCTTGTATTATACACAATGACATTCATCTATGATTCTTCTTATACCTGCATGCAGTCTCAGCCCGATCGGTTTAAAATTGACAAAGTTTCATACAAACTTTCATTCCCTATTTTAGCCCCTTGGGGGTATAATTGATCAAAATCCTTTCTTAGCGGATGCCTACGTCATAACATCTACCTGCATGCAAAATTTCAGCCCGATCCGTCCAGTGGTTTGGGCTGTGCGTTGATAGATCACTATGTCAGTCAGTCACCTTTGAGTTTTATATATATATACTAGCGGCGGTAGCGGTGATACTGCCAAACGACATATTACACTGTCAATAAGATCACGATATCGTGATAATATTGAAAGTGCAATAGGCACGAACTGCGTCATTCAATTGTTTATTATTTTAGAATTTGCCGTGATTTAGAACAAGGTGGAAACTGCTACGAACTTCGTCCGATATTCTTTTGCATTTTTAATAGTAGGTAAGTCTTGTGGGAACTATGTTTGGTGCGAAGATTAAGTTTATTATTGAATAAGTACACTTTTAACCCAGCTATACACTTTAAAACTTATACAGCCGGTTTTAAAAATAAAACCTCCAGTAAAACATAAACCTATTTTGATTTCGTTTCTTAGCAATAGAGGTTTATTTTATATAGACAATACAAATATCTAGGCAACAAAGCTTTAATAGGCTTACCTTCTTTCTACCAGTGTGATTACTAAAATTGGCCGAACAGAAATAAAAGATAGAGATAATAAAAACCAAGAATGGTATTCTTCAAGGAACAACTTTGGGTCCATAACTTTACACTAAATACATTTGTAACCATTAAGCATTTTTTTTTCTCTGAAAGACAATTATGCCCTTTTTCATGACCTATTTGTCGAATTTAATAAATATAAGACTATACTAATAGTAATCAAAGTAAACAAGATACTCTTTAGGGATAAACTTTACATACCAGCAACATCTGTGGCAACCATGATGTTGTTTTCATTCCTTTTGAAGGCGGTAATAACCTTATTCCTGTCAGCTTGGTCCATATCTCCGTGTAGAAGTAAAGCATCGTATTGTTGCACGCCCAAGTTGGCCGCCGTTTGCTCCGCTTCTAACTACAAATATGTAAGTTAATAAATATAGGCGTATGTTTAAAATGATCTTCAAAGAATTGTAAATGATCACCAAAAAGAACAACACCTAATCTTTAAGTTCGCAATTTTCCTTTTTTTGTGATAGATTGCGATTCACAATTTCTTCGAGGATCATTTCAATATTTTCCATGAAATATAAGCTAATGCAATGCAATACAATGCTTCATAGTTAAAATGTTATAACAATTAGAAAAAGCACTTGAAATGAGTGAACGATAACAGTAAGTAACTAATAACAAATGCTGGTATAAACAGGTAATCACATGTCAAATTTATCCAAATGACTTTAAGCTCTATATTGTTTTACATACGATTCATAATCTACTCAGTAAATTTGATCGTTTGTTGTAGCTATTACGTTTGCATCTAATTTCCACCGTTTATACAAGTTTTTTTTTAATTGTTACGATCGAAATAAAGCGATCACAACTATATTTATGAACTAAATATAATAACTAAATATAAAATATACTAACCTTCTTTGTAACGAATATTAAAACACTGCCCGCAGATGTGAATTCAACTAGATTATTAAGAAGCCACGACCACTTCTCCTCTGGTTTATTGAAGATTCTGCAATAAATTAAATTGCATTTGTTGAGAAACAGTACAATTTCAGTATAAATAGCAAGACAAATTCCAAATATATTTGTTTCTTAGGTTTATCAAAGTATTTGGAACTTAAATAAAACAAGTTTCAACGGTATATATGCACCGATTTATTTATTTTTTGATGATTCGCATCCTTTTCAGGCTGCGTGGTCATGGGTTTTTTATCATAATTTAGACAACGTATCCTGAAAACGATGCGAAACGTCAATAAATAAATAAATCAGTGCATCTATACCGTTGAAATTTGTTTTATTTAAGTTCCAAATACTTCGATTTTTTTTTATAGACATGACTTACTCGTCTCAATAACTGTTATAACTCCACAGAGCAATACTTCGATTTTTTTTTTGTAAAAGTAGTAAAAACCCCTGCAAATATTTATTCTAAACACAGATGCCAACAATTGGCACTTTATTTTTAACACTGTCACCAACACCCTATTAGCTGGCGTCCCCTCGAACTCGCGACCAAGAATAAACAACGCCTATCTCTCTGACACAGTAAATTTACTTACCGAACATATTGCGTGACCAATTAGCTTGCCTCCCCGCGGACTCGCGACCGAGAATAAATAACGCCTCTCTGTCACAGTAAATTTCCTTACCGAACATATTGCGTGACCAATTAGCTGGCCTCCCATCTGAATAGCGGCCGAGAATAAACAACGCCTATCTCTCTGTCACAGTAAATTTCCTTACCGAACATATTGCGTGACCAATTCGCTTGCCTCCCCCGCGGCGCCGTGTTGTATCCGCACCGGGTCGTGTAACGCGTCGCGAGCCAACCTCTCCACTCTGCGCGGAAACGTGGCGGAGAACAACAACGCCTGTCTTTCGGGCCGCACGTGTGCACATATCGAACGAACTTGCGGCTCTGAGGAACCAATCAAAAGAACGTGATTCACAACCACCAAAACTTGAAGCTTTAAGAAATCAATCAAAGAAAAGTGATTCGCTAGCACCACGGTGGGCGCCAGCTAATTAGTTTGGCGCCCAACGCGTTAATATCCATAAAACAATTATAATAAACTGAGCTTTTAACACCAGCGATAATATAATTTAATCAGTTTGTTACTAATCCACTCACAAATGATCAATTGTTATTGTTACCCAAAATAAATATGTAAAATTAGGCAGATAAATATGAGAAAGAAGAAGCGATCGGGTGGTCCGCAGTTCGCCTATGTATTAGATGATTTTTCTCTCTTTCTAGATAGTTGTAAGTTTCATGCGAGTATCACTTAGTCCACTCTCAAGGTCTTAGATACTAGCTGATAGTAAAACTATGCAACATGTAAAGATGAAATATTAGTTTTCATTATATTCAAGATCAACGTGGACGGAATGCGTCATTATCAATTATTAAATCAATGAAAAAGAACTTACCGAATCCCATGTCGAACATTCTATCAGCTTCGTCTAACACTAAATAGGTGACCCTTTGGAGATTAGTGGCTTTGCATTTTATTAAATCTATGACACGCCCTGGAGTACCCACTATAATTTCCGCCCCTCCGCCTAAAATAAAAAGAAACCTTGAGACAAATTTTCTGGTAAGCTGTTAATTATAGGTTGTTGGTGATTTTATCATACCTTCTAAGGCTTTCGTTTGTTCCCACTTAGAGCCACCGCCATAGCAACAAACGCACCTTATATTGTATACTTTGCCGAACCTCTTCGCCTCCATGTAAATCTTTTGAATGAAAAAGAGACCATTGCGTTTATCTACAAAATTATTATTTAGTGACAGTTTACTGCTAAGCAGAATATACAAGGCTTTTTTTCTCGACATTTAAAAATTAATTAGTTATTGAATAATTTAAATGAAAACTTTTTTATACGTAATTTAAACAGATTTCTGCGTCATCTATCGCTTTAAGTAAACCAATACTAATATGATTTGAAAACGGTAACTGACAACTTTTTGAAAAAACACAACCCCTCAATTCTTTCGAATTTAAATTTAAGATATGTATATAAATTACAGTAACTAACTTGAAGATAAAGAGTTAATGAATGATGATTTAATTAAATGAATGACTCACCCTAAACTACAGATGGGGCTAGCATATCCTAATTAAAATTAAGCATTTAAGCATCATGTGCAGTACATGCCGACTTTTTTTAATTATTACTTAAATTATCTGCGAAAACTATTAATTGGCCTTAAACATAAATATTATGCAGAATAGCAAGGAAGAGAAACTAGCTTCCCAAAAATTGTAAAAAAAATAAAAAATGAAAGTCCTTAAACAAAAAGCAATGTTGCACATGTTATTACCTGTTGCGCCAATTCCCTGGTGGGTGCCAATATCAAGCCAATGGGTCCTTCTCCCACGGCAAGCTCCTTTTGGTCCATGATGTGGATCAGGAGCGGCCATAGGAACGCGGCCGTCTTACCAGACCCCGTGCGGGCAATACCTGTTACAAACTATACGTAAGGAACAAGTCTACAAAGTTTAAACAACAAGCCTACAACATAGTAACGAAATCTTTTTAGTATATAACATAGGGTATTGGAGAGCATCCAAGCCGCCCCTTGATCCTGAGAGACCTTCAGTCGCTCAGTCCCAAATCGATACGGTCCCCCACGAGTGTTTTAGTCAGTAAGAGTCTGACATAACCCTACAACCGGCTGTAGGGTATCCATGAGGATTTCACATCAGCTACCCCGCCTGGGAGGAAACAAAAAAAAAAGAGCATGCAAAATAAGGTCTAAATGTTGGCATTTATTTAATATGAATATTATTCATTTACTATTCTGAGAGAACATACAAATAATAACTTTTCTAAAAAATCATTAATTATAGAAATTATTTTTTTGCTCTACGGTCACGTGAGCTCTATCACTTTATATTGTGCGGTTTTATGTTTTAATGACATGTGACGTCACATGCTAGTGAGACGCCATAATGTCCAGTGAAACGCTTCCGCGGCAACTTGAAAATGGAATTTTTGATTTAGTTTTTTTCACTGAAATATTCAACAGAATGATGAATATCCACTTTTTATGGACTAAGTAAACATAAGTATATTTACTTATTCACATTATTATGTGAGATCATTACGATCGATACGATGTATAAAACTGAATGACATACCTACAGTAGGCTTTTGGCATGATTTTTAATTTATACATTTAGTAATTTAAACACTGTTTTAGGTGGTTTTGATTGAAAATTATTTGAGATTTAAATTCAACGAGTCCTCCTCCAACCTCCGGACTGTAAAAAAAAGTTGATTGACCAGATGCGTAATTATACCATTTTGTTCGCCAGCTCCTCATATAGTAAAAGGTAGGGCGGGTCCATGCTTCCAATACTGACTTGTTCTGACAAGTATTTATTTTGAACCACATGCGTCATTTACTTATTTATTTATTTGTTCACCAACAAAGTTACACTTAGACATTTCTTATTTACACATTTATAGTACGATATTGACTTTATTAGTGGAACTTTAATTATAGGCAATTACGACATGCAATTTACACGTAACTAGCAATTAAATCTTATAAAATTTTGATAATTACATTAATTTCAATACAAAACAATTATGAATTAAAATAAAATTTAAATTATCAATAATTGAACAACAACAATTAAATAAATTTATGAAAAATAAATTAATGAAAATAAATCAATGAAAATTAAATTAATGAAAAATAAATTAATGAGAAATAAATTAATGAAAAAAAAAACTATGTGGGCACAACCAAAACATAAAGATTTTATTCTCTTCAGTGTATCTGCGAAGATGTCAATATCGGTCGACTTTGACAGTGAATTGTACTGAGAGAGCATTCTATTTATAGGAGAAAATAAGCCTAGGTTCGTTCTGGCGCTTCTCGTCGGAAACAAATTATATCTTGACCCTCTTGGCAGTTTAAAGGGGATATTAAAATATACTCTTGAGAGTAAATCTTAGTTGTAGGCCTGAGCTATGTGTGATGGTTACCGATGATGTCCCTGCCGGCCAGCGCGGCGGGCACGCCGGCCGCCTGTATGGGGGCGGGCTGCGTGTACTGAGCTATGTGTGATGGTTACCGATGATGTCCCTGCCGGCCAGCGCGGCGGGCACGCCGGCCGCCTGTATGGGCGTGGGCTGCGTGTACTCGGAGCGACGGATCGCACGCATCAGCTGCTCGTCGAAACCCAGGTGGGCGAAACTGCTCACTGGCCTCGGCGGGTCGGGGCCTGTTATCTGAACAAACGATGCGAAACCTTCCGCTTACATAAAGCCCACCTATTGTATATGCGGAGCTCAATGGCGCAAGTGGTTAGCACGTTCGGCTGCCATCATTACAGTTAAGCAACTTTCGCAGTCGGTCATTGGATGGCCGACCCAAAATTTACTATCTTGAGCTCCTCCGTGCTTCAGAAGGCACGTTAAGCTGTTGGTCTCGGCTGCATCTGTAGTCGTTAGCACCCACCAATCCGCACTGGGCCCGCATGGTGGGTCATGGCCCAATCTCCCTATTCCATCCATAAGGAAGGCCTGTGCCCCAGCAATAAATCCTATAAGACTACGGCCACTATACGCGCCCACCTCCCACCCACGCAGCCTTTAGTGGCTCAATGTGCGCACTCTAAGAAGCTATTGTAATTTTATTATAATTAAAGTAAATATTAAATAAGATTAAAATTATATTCATTGATCATAGGATAAAACCTCGTCTATTTCTTAACCATACACTTAAAAGAAATGCAGACAGAAATTTCAATTTAGATTACTTAGAAAAGATTACTTGGGTACATCCCTAATCCAGGAACTATGAGTTGATAACTAGATTTGAGATGCCTTACCCTAGTAAATGAAATGATCAAATATTATCTATGTGAGAGCGATGGTATTCGTTTAGTATGTGGCCCATTTCATTGTTAACCTAAACAAGGCCCATAGTAATCTTCTCTCTCTTCCCTAAGGCCGTATACAGAAAGAAAGCCGAAAGCCGATCGGCGCCGATCGGCGCTTATCGGCGCCGATCCTTCCTACATAAAGGAAGCCGATTAAAGCAGATCAAGCAAAATGTCGGACTCATCGGACGATGATTTGGTTTTGTTAGAAAATATTTATTTAAAAATGCGAAAAACAGCTATACATCCTATAAATAGAGAAAGGAAACGTTTCGGAGAATACCATCATTTATTTGTAAAAAAAAAAAAATTTGATGAACAACGATTTTATACATATACAAGAATGATTCAAGAAACATTTTATTACATTTAGGATTTAGTGAAAAACCGTTTGATGAAAAATTGGGGAAATTGGCATAAACAACCAATCCTTCCAGAAGAAAGACTTGTTGTCACCATTCGGTAAGTACGAAACAAATAATTTTAGCGCTTAGTTAATAAAAGATAAAGTTATTAGATTTTTAAAAAGATTATAACTTAGATTGATTTAATCTAAGGATAATAATTCAAATACAAATTATTTATTATTCGGACCAGCGCGTGTCGGCGCTTATCGGCGCCGATCAGCGCCGGCTTTCGGCTTTCTTTCTGTATACGGCCTAACCTAACCTAACCATGCATAGCTCTAACCACTTGACTCACTGCAGGAGCAAAGGGCTGCAGATTAGTATTATTTAACAGAAATCTTCTGTAATGTGGTGGCCTTTTATTCTATCTTGTACAAATATGGAAATCTTTGGAGTGACTCATAACTTTGAAGAGAATGATAAATAAAAAATATTGAAGAAGTTTATAACATCTTGTATGATATAAGTAACTCTCAATACAGCGAAACTAAAAAAAGCATGAAGCTTGGCAGAACATATTATAATATAAAGAAAATGTAGCTAGAAAAATTCTAGTGACCAGGCTGCAGATGGGACTCGAACCCGCACCCTTTGCTATAATGATCAGTGCATTCACCCAGATAACGAAGGGTGCAGGTTCGAGTCCCTGCCCCTGTCGAAAAAATTAAAAACCTAATATTATAATATTTGGAACTATGACAAATCACTGAAAAAATACTGGAAAGTAGTGGTTAACATGAGATCCACCTGCAAACCCTGGTAAGGCTCAAGTGCCTTTGACTCAAATGAGCTACAACTCTTCTTTATATTATATTACAGAAATCTGTACCTTGACTCCTAGATTCTTCTTCAACTCCTCAACTTGCTCATTTGTAAGTTTCTCAATATCCTCATGTGGTGTATAGAAATTCTTCTCAAATGGCTCATATGTAATCTCCGAGTGATCTATTGGTGGCAATGGATCTATGAATTTTTTCTTGGGAGGAGCTAAGGGATTTCCATCTTCATCATATTCTATTTCCAGATCTGAACCATCATCTGGATTTGTCAGGGGGTTTTCCTCCATATACCTGTTCGTTCAATTTAAAAGTGAATCAGTGCAGAGAGAAAGTCTGAAGAAAAGATAGAATAACTTGGTAATAGATTAATTTAAAGCGTAATTTATGAAAGGAAATCAAATATTTATTATTCTTAAGCGGTTACATATTGATTTAATTGACCAGCACTAGGGCTAGCAAATAAAGTTAAAGTTATGGGAACACGGTTTGTTATTAACTCTGGACTGTATGTAAAAAATAACATTTCTTTGTTAAAATCTTCATCAACTTTTTGCACATTTAATCTGAAACTTACTTATAATAACTCTCTTCATCATCCATTTCATCAATATCTCCCCTAGTACCCCTCCCGCTGTCTCCCTTTCCACTGGCTTCGTTCTCTTTGCTGGCCACCATATCTTTGGCAGCTTGCTGTTCCAAACCTGCCATGTATGCATCAAGAGGATCTTCTTCATCGTCATCCGCCTAAAATAAAATGAGATTATCATATCCATAGCAATCCCACTGTGTCTAAAAAGTAGAGAAAAAACCTTTGTTTACAAATTCTAACACTTACTTTTGACGCGGCTGCGGCATCGTATGTAGGACTGCCTGGTGCAGGTATGTATGCTAATGCTGGGGTAGGAGGTTCATCATCTTCATCAAAATACCTGCAAAACATCAATCACAATGTGTACTTACTTCAATTATAGTTCATCCATTGTAATGAGTGCGTGGAGCGGTTTCTTTGTTGTAAGGCAACAAAAGACAAGAATGCAAAACTGCCTTGCTTGCACGAAACAAAAATGCTACAACTCACTCATCTTCTGTCTTCGAACGCTTTTTTCCGAGGCTACCCCAATTACCGGTAACAGCATTCTGGGTGATAGCATTCATTGTAGAGTAACCCTGCTTAGACAATCCTGAGGTCGGCGGCGGAACTGCGTGCATAGGGGCCGACGGCGGAGGCACTGCATGCAGCGACACATTTGAAGGATTCCGTTTCGGCATCGTGAACCCGGCGAAACCAAACCCTTTCCCACCACTCCCACCCGAGTTATAACTCATTTTAAAGTGTACAACTTTACAAGATCACACAATATTATCACTAAAGTATTGAGGTTATTTAATAAATTGTTTACACACAGACGGTTACCCTTACAACAAATTTGTACAACTTACAAATAATGCTACAGTTATAAGAGGATAAACCTATATTTATTTAGCTATAAACAAAGTCCTAGGTTCATAAACAAAATAGTTTATTTCAGGCTTCCTTCAGCGCTCACAAATCATTCAACTCCCACCACAAACAAACCAAACCACTGACTAGATGTCTAAATACTGTCAATCTGTCATTTAAAACTAGTGTTGCAGCGTTACAGCAATCGATATTGATAAATTAGATATCTATAAAATAAAACCTAAGGCCTATAATAGTTTTTTTTTTCATAGATTCATAATTGATCATGTACTATTTGATTCCTGAGTCACCACCACATAAGATTATTTTCTTACAACCATCTATTTAAATTTTATCTAATAAGATGATCTATTCCATTGGAAACAAAGGTCAAATTTCAAAGATCTTTGACTCTGAAAAATGCAGTTTCCGTGTTATTAAAATGTCATAAGTGCAATTCCGCATTCTCTCTAGAAGGAAACTTCTCTGATTTTGACGATAGGACATTAATCAATTGTTTCAATAGTGCACACGTACTCATCAAGGGATGTGTAGGGACGAGCTTTAGTCCTGTTTATATGTATGCCATGCTTTAACTACCTTTTTTTTCGATTGGTTCTACTGCGGGTCAATTATGCTTTAGTGATATAATCATAATGTGATTTCAATATGATGTTGATGCCAACTTGACATTGTTTTTAAATTTGTATTATGAAACATTCCTATGTCACATCAAGATCATATCAATATCATATCTTGTACCTATCACATTTTTGACGTTTATGCGATACTGTTTTAAGTCAAAAAGTTGAACGTAATACGCATTTAAGTTGATATCATTTTAAAGAGTTGATCATAATAGGTACGCATAAGTTGATGTCATTTTGATATCGCATTTTTCGGAGAGCATAATACGTAATGTGAAATTGACATCAAAACAATATCACAATTAGCGAGCATAATTGGCCTGCTGGCCACGACCTCTATGGCCTTCAGCCGTCTTGACTACCCAAAACGGCTGACACACAGATAACTTGTTCTCTTATTGGTCTGTGCTCACTGCAGATATCAAAAATTAAAAAAGAAATTGTCATGTCGAAAACTCACAAAATGACATTGCAACAAAAACAAACAACGTCACATAACTAATAATTAATACCTGCAATAGTTGTAAGCGTATCATATCTTTTTTATTCTCTTATTTGATCCAAATCTCAAAATGTACTATACGGTTGTTTTATTCGTATTTGCTCTGCTTAGCGTCACGAAAGTTGAAGCATCACATGGTTATGATTTTGGTGATTTCTTAGCAACTGTATTGGGTCTCGGAATAGCGGTAGTAGGAATCCTCGCGTGTTTGGGCAACTACGCGAGACAGAAAGCGAGAAACGAGTTCATTTAAACGCAATCATGTGTGAGTAGCAATTAGCCTTGATTTCGAGCTCAATTCTAGTTGCACGCGTATAAAACTTTATGAACTCAAAAAATATATTGTTTTTTTGATTCCAGCAAGTACTTCGTTTTCCTCAATACCAATTGAATCATCATGATTAAACAGTGTTATGGATGCTCCTTATGGATTTAGATATAAAAACTACCAACTTGTGACCCTGCAATACCATCATTCTACGTAGAGAAACGGAATGTACTATATTAATGGTAGAAGTATACAGGGAATAACTCCACTTTTCATAATGTTTACTTTTCAGGGAAAGTTCAATAAAATCACTAAACTACTTTTTCAATAAAATATATTATGTTGGATTTGCACTGAAAGTAAATATTTGTTTTGTATTACCTTTAATTGGATCCCACCCCAATCATGTAATGAAACAATTATATACTTGTAAATAATTTATGTTAAAATGAATTTTTTATCACTTTGCACCCTCACATAAGACAACACAGTTAATTAAAACCAATTAAGACAACTTCATGATATTTCATTCACAAATAAAAAAAACCTTTGATTTGGCTTAGATTATTTTAACTAGTAGTCTGATTTTCTAGTAATTCTATTTCTTTAATAATGTCACTTTTTTTGGACATCTTTTCTTTTTGATCTTTGTCAGGGTTTTTCAACGCACCAGATTTAACTTTTTCTTCAAGTTGTTCAATGTCCCTTAATTTCTTTTTTAAATTCTTCAATCTCTTAGCAGGATCTGCTTGACTAGCAGCAGGTGTGTTATTTCCAGATGATGATGGAGGAGATGGATTGCTGAATGTGGGCTCTGTGATTTCACACTTAGCCAACTTTTCTGCAGCTTCATCAGCTCCTATAATAAGAACAAGTTTGTTTAGTTTAATTTGAAACCAGTCCTTTACTTAGACACAGGTGTCGATTCTGGTGTGATTCTCTAAACTTAAAACTAAATCTAACATCAGTCTCTCTTTTTCATTCTGTATAGAGAATGACAAGGAAACACTGTTGTCAAATTTAAGTTTAGATTTAGAGAATCCTACCAGAATCGACACCACAATTATCATATACTACCTGACTTCTTCTTCTTCTTCTTTTTATCCACATTGATAATCATGCCAGGTATTGGCTGTATTGTACCTGCTCGACTCTTTTTAGGTTTCTGTGCAGCAGCCACTATTTCAGGTGTGAGCCCCACTGGCAAACCTGTGTTCTGTCTAGCTTTGAACTGTTTTCCTTTACTTTCATAGAGAGGCACTTCTTCTTGAGGTACATATCCATCCTTGACCCGTCGTGGTTTGCGCCATGTACCATCTGGTCTCTGAGTAGCAGGAATAAATTTTGAACCTGAACATTTCAAAAGGTTGTAAAGAGAATTAATTTTAATGTCAAATTGAGCACGTACTGTAAGTGTAATATTTAGACGTTCTAGATAATAATAGTAGCATACCACACATTTGCAATTCATGTGATCACTGAAACGTAAAAATTAATTTTACCAAGAAGAAATGATAAAGTGTGCCGCTAAGTTACACTTATCATATTAATGGAAAATAATAGAAATGTGCCATCGTAATAGTGATTTTGTAAATAAACTAGAAATGGGATAAAAATATCTGGTGTATATTCTTCGCTTACTTACCATCGGCATCTAGCTCATAAGCGGTTGTCGCCATTATTGCACATTAAGTTTCTAAGAATTCCTTCAATGATTTATCATCCACCTAATTAAAATAAAACAAGTAAATATTTGCGGATTTTGTAATTGTAAGTTTTTCTTTCGTGCTATTTTCATACAACTACTTTGACGTTACTGATTGATTGAATGAATGGAATGAGTGAACTAACTAATTGCCAGCTACGCTACCAGTGTTGCCATCTTGGTTTTTTAACACACCTTGGTCAGGCATCAAACGCAGTCGGACAAGCTATTAAGAGATTTTGCGCGAAAACCGGAAAAAACAAATGCAAAACATTAAATTAGAAACATATTAAGTAGGTCCGTTATATCACAAAGTGCAAGAAGTCATTAAAATTTATAATAGGCTAGTTGACTCATGTCGAATTGTATTAAATAAATGTTTATTTCTTACAGTATTTGGCCTAAGGAACCTAAATATATCGAGTTCACTTCATAAAAGCAGAAGATTGCTGTAGAAATTTAATTTTAAAAAATATTTTTTAGTCTATATTTTTTAAACACTAAAAACGCTGTTCGCCACATCCGCCATGATTGTGACGTCTCTTTCAGTAAACAATTAAATGTCATTCGCGTGTTATTGTGGGTGGATTCTTTAGTCTGAATAAATTTATTTTAAAACACTTTTAACTTTAGAAACGTTTCCGTTTACTGGTTTTTTTTTGACAATAGTTATTAATTATGGATGCCGACTTTGTGAAAGCAGAAAGCTGCCAAGAATTGACGCATTGATGGTTGGTGAATATTTTGCACTAAACCCTGATTTCTGCTCTGCGGAGCAGAGAAACGACAAGGCATCTATGTAAGTACAGTGCATTTATTATTACAATGTAGTAATAAACATAAAACTGATACAACATATGAATAAGTGTAATAAAGTTGCGTAGGTTAATTTCTTTCGGCACTTTAATCCACAACATTCCTGGAGTCTTCAAGGATGTGTTTTTATATTCTCGTACAATACAATAATGATAATTAATTTATTTTTTCTACGTGCTTACGAGTTTTTGTTTACTACAGTTGACATCATAGCATAGACAATCTATAGACTAAAATGGCCGACAGCGTTTTTGTATGTCCATGAAAATTCTATTTCAAAATTAAAGATTTGTAGCTTTCTAGGCCTCAAAAAAATACAATACATTTTTTTTCGGTCTGCTAGAACATTAATTAACCATTTACAACCTTTTTCCAAAAAGGGTCAACTAGCCTATTAAACTTTTAAATCAAAGTCTTCATTGGAATCTTCCAAAATTATATATGCAACAGCAGAAGACGTTGATGGCAGTTCACTCGATTATTTCATCAATTTACAAAACCTAATTTTCGCTTCGGTCTCTGCTTTAGCGATTAATACTCCGAAAAAAAGAGATATTTAAATAAGTTAACCATAAACAAATTGTAACTACAACCTAAATTAGTCTTTATACTTAGAAGCAAAGGTAATACGTCCCGGTAATGATCAAGTCAAGTCCACTTGTCAAGTCTACGTGATTGAAATTTTTATTTGACGATACTTGATGGGTTGGCACTTGACATGACTTAATGGGTATTTACAAGTTTTTCTCATTTGCGGCCGCAGCGCAAAGAGTCGAAATTAATAACGAGGGTGATTTTGACTTACTAGTATATAAATTATAAAGAGGCTTTCTTGTGATATGGAAAGGCAAAAGTAAGGAGTAGGTATGCCGACAAAAAGAAAAGGGAGATTGCATTAACAAATATAGATACCGCTACAGTTATGGCAGATCTGGAATTATCTGCGTTGGAAATCATTTTTAAGGTTCCGTACTCAGTAGGACCAATAAGATTGAATTGTCCGTCTGTGTGTCTGTCTTTCACCAAGTTGTATCTAATGAACTGAATAAATATTTATGGGATGCTCCCTTAAAACAAACTGTTTCTCTGCTGTATTTTGCTAGATATTTCAAAATCGTGTTCAATGATGTATGGATAATGGTATACAACACAACCCTTTGTGCTCGAGTCCGATTCGCATTTGAAGGTTTTTTTGCTACTACTTTTATTCATGTTATGTCGGTAGGCAACTGTAGCGTGCGCACTTGACAGCTCCATCAATAGTTTCACTTGCCGGCGTCAAGTCACTGATCAAGTGAAACCGTCAATACTGCAAGACTTGATAAGTCGAATTGATTGTCTCTGGGACCTATAATACCCAGTAATGCGGGATTTACACTACCCAACTTTAAGGGACCCTTATCCTGACTAAGGGTGCGGCCAGAGTGCACTCAGATTCAGATTCAGATTTCGAAAACAAGCGCGAGAAATAAACAGTGTAGTCGAAGGGTACGGCCAGATTGCACTCCTGATTCAGATTCAGACTCAGAAAACAAAGCGCGAGAAAAAGCAGGCAACCTGCTTAGACTACACTGTTTATTTCTCGCGCTTGTTTTCAGAATCTGAATCTGAGTGCACTGTGGCCGCACCCTATGGGTGGTGTAATGTGAGTAAGGGATCCGATTTAGGGGTGTCCGTGATGCTAGCGTACCCATGATCAATATACGGTTTTTCGTTATGCCATTAAATACTGCGTAAATAGTGCCAAATTAGTGTAAAAATACAAAAAATAGTGCCTCTTTAATTTAAGAAATAAAGACCATTTTTACTGTGTACGCTACCATGACGTCAAGCTAGCGTACCTATGGCCGACCCCAAGAACGGCATATATTTAAGCAACAAAATTGACACACAAAAATAGTTCGCAAATAGTGCCCTGGCTTTACAAAATTTCATAATCAATACTCTTAAAGGACCAAAGATATTGAACTAAACATTCTTAGCTGGCGTCAACCTGGCGTACCCATAATAGTTCTCATAGAAAATTAACTTTTCTCGTTATCAATCTATATGTATAAATAGTGTGTCAAATAGTGCCTCTAACAGTAAAAGTATTTTATGTTAATTCGCAGTAAAACAATATAAAAAAAGCAATTAAATTATTTTTATATATGAAGTACAGTCATGTACAGAAGTGATAATATTTTCGTAGTATAGTAGGTAAGTAAGGTACTTAGTAGGTAGGTAGGTTGAAATTCTTATATGAATTTATGATTGGTGTATTCGGATTGAAATATAATATCTTTTTATAAAAAGTACCTATTTATTTTAGTAAAAACACATATATAGATAATCTCTTAGTGCATAAATTAATTTTGTGTGGAACTGTACTACAATACATTTGTTCCTAGAATTTAACACCCTCTTTATGTATTGTTGTGATGCGGATTCACATAAAATACTTTTACTGTTAGAGGCACTATTTGACACACTATTTATACATATAGAATTGATAACGAGGAAAGTTAATTTTCTATGAGAACTATTATGGGTACGCCAGGTTGACGCCAGCTAAGAATGTTTAGTTCAATATCTTTGGTCCTTTAAGAGTATTGATTATGAAATTTTGTAAAGCCAGGGCACTATTTGCGAACTATTTTTGTGTGTCAATTTCGTTGCTTAAATATATGCCGTTCTTGGGGTCGGCCATGGGTACGCTAGCTTGACGTCATGGTAGCGTACACAGTAAAAATGGTATTTATTTCTTAAATTAAAGAGGCACTATTTTTATTATTTTTACACTAATTTGGCACTATTTACGCACTATTTAATGGCATAACTAAAAACCGTAAATTGATCGTGGGTACGCTAGCATCACGGACACGATTTAGGGCGATCGGCGCGGTGTAATAATTACTTACCCTAGCTAGGGACCACGCCCACCTTTTCGATTGGGCCCTTAAAAATGGGTAGTGTTAATCCTGTTTAAAGAAACAAAAAGAGTATGGTAGGGTTAAGGCAGAAATAATTCATCTGACCTGTTGTGTTGTGATTTGATGCGATCGGTTTCGTACATTTAGTAGGTGCGGTTAGAACTATATTTGTGTGTAACGATGTATCGACATCGTTCTAACTTTAGCCATACTAAATGAATGAAACAGATAGCTCTTTCAAGCGTTACAACACAACACGATAGATACGTGTGGTTCTGCCATTACCAATGTCATGAGAGCAAAATATAAAATATGTCCAATTAGTAATCATTAAGTGTGCCTGACATAATCTATACTAGATGCCACATTGTTTAATAAATAAATTTTTTCAACACTCACATTTTGATTCTGGCACGATTCTCTTAACCTAAACTTTAATTTGACAATAGTGTATCCTTGTCATTCTCTATACAGAAAGAAAAGGAGAGACTTGTTGTTATAAGTTTAGAGAATCACGCCAGAATCGATACCGTTGCGCCCTCCCTGAACTTCTTACTGGCTTCATAAAAATTATGATGCCGTCCATTCATTCATTCATCACAATATCTGTGTAGTCTCATTTTTTTTAAATTGCATTTGTTTTTGTTCCGCATTTCCGCAATATTTTTTTGAATTTTGTTGAAAAAAGTGAGTGCCGTACCTTGGAGTAGATAGCGTTAAAGTTCACTTGTTTTTATTAAATTAAACCCAAGGGCAAGTGAACTATGCCCAAACGCAGAAGATTATTAACTCCTTCAAAAAATAAAGCTAGACTAAATGTTATCAAGGAGGAGAACGATTTTAGAAGTAAGATGAAATTCCGTGTTTACCACTTTACTTTCAATATCACTTTGGATTACTCTTCTTTCAATATGTACTTACTTCGAATTTCGTCAAATAAAAAGATCTAGGATTAATTTTTCGGGCTTGTGCTCGGAGTATAGTGATAAAAATGTTAATTTATTATTTTAAACTATATATATATTTTTTTAGTTAGCGATGTTGGTGACAAAGAGGTGTCGGCTGCAAGAGGCCGGCTCAAGGGAGCTCTTATGGATGTTCTTGACCCCGTAGGTGAAGAGTCTGACACATCTGTCGAACCTAGTCCTATCAAAAAGGAAAGGTAATAATAAAGCTTGACGTTATCAAGCAATTGTATTTATTATTATTTTGTGCTGAATTTAATAAAAATTCTGTGACAATTGAAAGGTACAACAATCATGACTTTAACCGAGAATCAGAAGAAGAGAAGGAGTCTAGGAGAAGATCACCGCCACGCCAGTCTTATGTATTGAAGCTGTTCGACAGAAGCGTTGATTTATCGCAGTTTGATGAAAACTCCCCACTGTACCCCATATGCAGGGCGTGGATGATAAATCAACCTAAAGCGAACTACAAAGAATATGGGTAAATATTGTTTCACATTAAGGACCAAAATCGTTATTTACTCGAGAATCTGATCTTTGGAGGCCTAGGTCCAATTTTAGGTGTACATACTTTGAGGTCATGTTCTGTATTCAAATTCAGGTTTGCCAATGTTTATATGATGAATAAAAGCAGTTTCTCCTGAGTCATTGCATCGCCCTAGTATCCCATAGCAGCCTTAGTCTTACAGTGCTTACTTTGAGGCTTGGCTTGTTATTATAAATTTATTAAAGTAAATAATTTGTCGGTAATGTTTGGTAATTAAGTTCCATTAAGAACGTTTAATATAGTAATAACTAGTGCATTATGTATGACAAATATTACTCTAGTGGCCATAAGTGTATAAAATCCTTACTATTTATTTGACTTGTTCAAACTTAAGGCAACCAAATGAAGAGCCAAAAATAACAGAAGAGAGTATAGAACTACCAGGACCTGAAGGTCCACCAGTGAGCAAAATACCAGAGTTGCTGCCAGAACAGAGAGATAGAAGCAAAGAAAATATCAATTTAAATTATGTAAGTATCTTTTTTAACTAAAAGATTCTGTGCGGCACGCCAGGCTGTAGCAGTAGCTGGCAGTTACCGACTCGCACTTTGGGGGTGAAGAATATACACATAGGCATCTTGACGGCGATAGTGGACTGTACTTTCGGTGGAATAAAACTCCCAGTGTTCGGTTTTGAAGAAATCAGTGGGCGCCGGTAATGGATGGCCAGTGAGAGGAGTCTTCAGGTCCAGAGTGAACCGCTTGTTTCTTCCTGTTCCTTTAGGTGGGAGCGCCTGTCGATCAATGACAGATGGCATGTTGGAGCCTGTTCTGATTCGATTTTTATATGCGGGAACTGAGCTGGCCAGCGATCCATTACCTCAACCCCGCCATATTTTATTTCTCATTTATTTGTAAAATACAAAGGTGCGAGCTTAAATCTACAGGTACATACATTAGGCATACAAATAGACATATTTATAGCGCAGTTGCGCGGCCGAAATTGTCATAATATAGCTGAAAGAAAAGAAAGAAAGCCGCTTATCTAACATTTTCTAACAAAACCAAATCATCGGCCTTATGCCGATATATAGAAAGAAAGCCGAAAGCCGATCGGCTTTCGGCTTTCTTTCTGTATACGGCCTTACAGTACATAATTGTATGACGAAATATTTACTTGTGTGTGTACATACACATATATAAGTATTTTATTTTAATCTTCTGAAAGTTTCACAGTAAGTTTCCTTTTAAATGTAGCAAGAGACATATTAAAGAGATCAAATTCAGATAATTAATTGTTATATGTGTTGGTGGAACGATAAAAGGTGTTTCCCGTATATATATACATGTTTTTAATTTTTTAAGAGAGAGTTATCCTCTAATTGTCATGCTTTTTGAGAAAGCTGTGCACGCTACCCACACACAAACACACATATATAATAGCCATTATAGGCGAGTAGTATAGTAAGAGTTAGAGCTATGCCAATTTTTCAAACCAAAGTCATGTGGTTTTCAACTGGATTTACCATCATGTAGCACACGTTTAACAGTGCTTACTCCGGAACTAGTCTAATTGGGTTAAATGATTGAAATATTTATTTATAGTTTTCTGGCTACTTTCCTATTTCGTTTTAATACTGAGAATGTCGGTATATTGTTCAGCGTGAAGCCCCGCCACCCAGCCGCGAATCCCTACTCCGCGGGCACGCGGCGCGCTGGGTAGCGGTGCGCCAGGCCTGGCTCGACCGCGCGCTACTTGTGGAGGCGCGGTACCAAGCCACGCAGCACGCGCTCAACAAGATCAACGTCACGTGAGTGCTGCCATACACATACAGTATGGACGCGCGGTACGGTACTACATGACATATAGGTACCAGGCGGGGCTCGACCGCGCGCTACTTGTGGAGTATCTCATCATCAGCTTAATAATGTCCCCACTGCTGGGGCAGAGGCCTCACCTATGGATGGAATAGGGTGATTGAACCCATGACCCACCAAGCGTGCCCAGTGCGGATCGGTGGGAGCTAACGACTGCAGATGCATCCGGGACCAATGGTTTAAGCCGTTAACGTGCCTTCCGAAGCATGGAGGAGCAGCTCGAGATAGTAAATTTTTGGTCACCCATCCGATGACAGAGTACTGTGAAAATAACTTATCTTCAATGATCGCAGCCGCTCTTGAACACTTTACTTGTACTTTGCTCGCCTTTCTTTTCGTTCCGAAATCGCTGTTGAAGCGCGGCGCCGGACGCGCTTATATACGCCAAGCGACGCATTCCAGAAAAGTCCTTTTCAATTAAACTTTGACGATGCGTTGCAATTACGGAACTGTCAAAATTCGTGTATGAGCCTCGGAACAAAAGTTTAGATATCTCATAACGAACCAAAAACCACGAAAATGCTGGAAACAGTTTTAACCAGAGCGCCGCGGGTCACGAAGTTGTGTGACTTTCTTTTATTTTTTCATGTATTTTTGTTTTAATTGATGTTGTTACTTTTTTTACAGCACCCTGTAGTACAACACCCGAGTTACCTTGGTCGAAACAAGACTCGCACACACGCAATTTCGATTCATATTTTACAGTATTTCATAGTTTTTTTTTATGATTAAGTATAATAATTACAAATCAAGAATCAAAGCATATGTATTTTGTGATTTCTAAAGGACTATAGTGATGATTGTGAATGAAAGCAGAAGTTTTATATAAATGTTTTATTAACAATGATTGTATATAAATAAATCATTACGCTTGAATTCGTTTTTTCTTCTTGTTTCTCCCTTGTAGTTGTGGGCAATCAGACTGCTTATGTCCTTTCTCTTGACAATTGTAACAGGACTGTAACATAAACAATAGAATCATCATCATCAGCCTATTAAAGTCCCCACTTCTGGGGCACAGGCCTTCTCTATGGATATGGAATAGGGAGATTGGGAATGGTTGGCTAACGACTGCAGATGCAGCCGTGTCTAACGGCTTAACCTGCCTGTTATTTGATGAATAAAAATATCCGGATCATTTAAAACTTTGTTTAATTGTTATAAACTCCTTTACATCTTATTCTAATCAGAGGCACATTCGCAACAGAGAGAGAGAAAAGTTGCCAGTACAAACATAAGATTATAATATAAACATATGACCACAGATAATGAAATCTTAACACTGCCTTCCGAAGCACGGAGGAGCTCGAGATAATAAATTTTTGGTCACCCATCCAATGACCGACCACTGCGAAATTTGCTAAACGTCAACGATAGCAGCCCAAAGCGCTAACCACTTGGGCCATCGAGCTCTTCGAAAACAATAGAATGTTTTAGTTAAAATCAAGAGAATCATTTAAAAGCTATAATGAGAATAGCGACAGCTAATGCCCTTGGACATACTAATGTTTTGAATTTTGTAAATAATAGTAAAATTCTGGATTGTTTTCCTTTCATTTATATATATATTTTTTAAATTTGACTTGTGAAAATGTCATGCACTAAACCTGTATGTAAAGTAAATAAAAAGAGCTCACTGATAAATATTTTGAATAATTGAAAGGTACAGATTATTAACATCTTATTGAAATATATTACCTGACTTTGCACAACAACGTTGCACTCGTGCCCCTTCTGTTGGCAACACCGACCACACTCTTGACAGTGGAAGAATGTTGGCTTCACACATCGCTTACATATATTGCAGTGTTTGTAAGTCATCCCATTCTTACTAGTGCATTCCTTGCACTTATTGCAGTGGTTATTACTCACGGAGACCCAATATTTGCATTTGTCACAAAGCTTGTAGTTCTTGTCATTCGACATGTCAATGGTAAACAAAGGAAGGTTAGTGAAGAAACGAACAGGTGAACCAAACTTTCTGCCCCCTTTGGATTTATTATGAAATTTCTTGTGATTCTCATACTCCACCTGTAAATAAATGTTAATGTAATAATAAAATAAAAAAGCCTTTATTAAAGCTAACAGTTTACAAAATTTGTTTGAAATTTTTTTTTTTTTTTTTGTAAACGTAGCATGTCAGTGACACAAGGCCTCCCCCAGCCTCTACTGTCCAGCAGATGCTCGAATCTTTGGAGAAATGCTGCTTCTAATCTTAATAATATATTTTAACTTTTGCAATCATCTTAAATGTACGTAACCAGAAACAAAGAAATCTGTGCGGTAAAAATTTTAAAACTAAAACATCTACTGCTCATGCTTGTCTATGTTTGTATTCAAGATTTTTGCCACTATACTTAGTTATTAACTATACTTAGAATAGTGTGACTTTGTCTCCAAACGAAAATTTTAAAATTTGTAATAAATACCTGATAGTCATGCATTTTGATTTCTGGCATCATGTTCGTTATGTATGGTTCGGAGAAATAAGGAAATGCCCAAATCACTGGTATGGTTTCTACTTCACTTTTTTCAAAGATTTTTCTATATAAATCGGACATTTCCCTCAGTGCCAATACAAGAGGTTCAACTCTGCCTCCAAATGGGGGATCCATTACAACACAAATACCTCCTTCTCTGTAAATAAATTTAAACTATAATGTTATTACAATACATAGAAAATTTAAAAGAACTATGTTATATGTACAATAGTCAATCATGTAACCATGTGTGATGTTTGATGGCCTACATGATTGACTAGCTGTGCCCCAGTGTTACCCACGGTTTATTAGGGATATTTTCCTGCAGTAAAACATAGCCTAAGTGTTAATCCAGGATGTCAGCTAACTCCATAGCAAATTTTATAAAAATGACTCCAGCTGTTCAGACGTGAAGAAATCCCAAAGATACACACTCACACACAAAAATTCGCCTTTATAATATCAGTGTGATTGCTTTGCATAGCAGATTTCCAAATTCATATTATGTGAGTAATATATAATGTATTAAACTTAATCACCTAGATTTCTTTATGAAATTTTTCAACACATTCTCATCAGTATTCCCGTTGAAAAGATAATTGTTGAACATGTTGTACCACAAAAATTTTTTTGGTGGATTGAATTGTGCATGCCTCTTATCAAAGTCTAGTAGTATGGAATCAAAGTCTTGGCTGGACTGGGCAGCTTCATGTATGCTTGGTGTGCCAATGCATAAAATATTTCTGCAATCAAAAATACAAAAAGTTTATAATTAAATATTTTAAAAAAGAGCCATCACATTAATTTTCCTTAATAGCAACTTCTACTGGGAGTGATTTATGGGTTTTTGTATTAAAACTTCCTTTTAATTTAAATGCAAAAGTTGCTGGTCAATAATATCATTCCACTATTTTCATATGTTGTAGTGACTAAACATGCTGTAGATTTTCTCTTATCATGGCCAGTGGCAAACCAGTAACTTTTATAAATTAAATTTAATAAAGCAAGATATTTTTATAAGAAGTACCTGATTTTATTATTTTTGAGTATACCTAAGACAGTACTGACAGACTTTTTAGTGAACAAGTACTGTGCTTCAACACTGTCATCGTTCAATGCTGGTAACCATGATGATGGATGTGTCAATTGCTCATCGCTCAATGGAGTAATGACTCTGTGGTCTTTGAGATGCTTCTTGCTTTGTGATAAGATATAGAGTTCTTGACAAGTGTTACAGTAAGCACGGTTAGATGAATGCTGTGTTTTGACCTAAAAAATATTGTTATTTTATAATAAAATTTAGAAACAGGTGTACACAAATTATGGTTAAGGGTTTAAATAATGTTCAATCCATATTTGTTAAGTTACTTTGTGTAACGGTAAATAAAACAATAGGCTTTTTTCAACAATTCACAAAACAAGGGTTGTGTTATTCCATTACCATGTATTTTCAGAAGAATCTCATTAATCATTAAATTGATATCAAATAACTAGCCAGTATATGTTTATAAGTATTTGTTTCGAATTTACTTTAACAAATAAAACTAACCTCATTGAAATTACTCCATAACGTTGCTTTATCAATTTTAGGGATAAGATTGTAGTACTTTTCATTCAGCTTCTTCACACTCTCCTTTTTCCAGTCCTCTTCCTCTATACGCAAGGTGCAGTCCTTTTTATTTCTGCATAATGAACAGGAATAATACTTTCCCTTTTCACTAGAAAACAGCAGCGTAGGACCATGAAGGCAAAGAGGATGAGTAGTTAGATCCCGGATTACAACTTCTACTGGTGGTGACTTAAGAGATTTTGTTTCAACAAACTTACGTTTCTTGACCATTTCAGAAATTTGTAAAATGAAATAATGAAAACCAAGCTGAATACAATTTCGAGATTTTATTCAGACAAACAATTCCGGCACTGAGCAAATACTTAAGACTCCGGAACACTCCTCCACGTGGTGTTGTTTTTTAGAAACTGTCAAATGATAAATTTTGTCAATCAAAGTGACTTGGGAAGACAAAGTACCTACACCACTTTTAATCAGAAAGTTTACACTGAGACTTTATTATATCAAGAATTTTTAGGTAATGGCTGTGCTGTGAAACTCCTTCTAACTTATATTTTATTTTGTTATTTTGCTAATATAAAAAACATCTTTTAATGCCGGCACATCACTTGGCTTTTTGTGTCTGCTATTTGTTAACCACTTTATTCTGAGCTTTGATGCTTTTAAAATCATGATATGGATATCGATGCCGAAATGATTCTCTAAACTCAAAATTAAATTTTACACGAGTCTCTCCCTTTTATTCTGTATTGAGAATGATAAGGATACAGTTGTCAAATTGTAGTTTATGTTTAGAGAACCATGCCAGAATCGACACCATTGAAAGACTGTTGTCAAGTTTATAAATGGATAATACCACTAGTCAAGTGAAGTGCCGGCACAAAACAACAGCTGAATTAACATGTGGCATAAAAGCTAATGGCTAGAGCCGCAAATTAAAAATATAGAATTGGCCGGCAGCAGCGGTGTTCTATTTCTTTCATTGTCATTTTTCAAATTAATTTAGACAGCTAGCCTTTTTCTGTTTTTCTAAGATGAATGGTTTAGTGAAAACCGCGCACAGAGTTATACAAAGCTGTGTAAAAAGCACAGGGCTGACTGGGGCTTTGGTGTCCCGCACTCAGGCTCCCGTCAAGCGTGATTTCACAAGAGGAATATGGCACATGAGTTGCTCGAAACGGCTAGATGGACCGTCTGCAGCATCCACACTACTCCACAATCATTCCAATACATGCGGCTGCGGCTGTGGTCTGAAAGCGCTACACACCAAAGGTAAGTCGAGAATAACCTTACTATTATTTTGAGGTTATGTTCTTGCATCATGTCATGCACATTATTAGCCTTTCTACTTTACTAATATTTTGCTCTGTTCTTTAGCCGACAAAGGTACTGATTATCCCGCCAAATCCAAAGACCTTGGTGAGTTCCTCTTTCCTGATCCTTCACCTCCTTGAATTTTGCTTAAACCCTAACATTTTCATTTACAGTTCAACATGAAACAATACAAAAAGTCAATGCCAGACCACATTTAGTTGTTGGCAATTATATACTTTCTTCCTTTATTGTTATTGTGGGCAAAATAAAAATAACACATTAATGAAAGGGTTGATCAAAAATCTTTTCTTAATTTTGATTTACTTTTTTTTTTATTAATTATTTAAATAAAAACCATACAAAAATATACAAAATGGCAACACAAGTATCTTCAAATATCAAAGAAAATTACTGTGCAGAAAGAGAATGGGATTTAGGTTGGAGGGCGCTATCGTGCTTTTCTACCATACTTGTAAGGTTTTACCCCTTTTAGACATGATTAAATACAAAAAAACTGCAAGAAATCACAATAACAAACAAATACGTATTAATACAAAACTTAGATGTTTTACAGATTTCCAGGTTTGATTGCCAAATAAAAATCTTAATGTTTTCCCTTTTTCGCCACGCCCATTCTCTTTCCGCACAGACTCTAGCACTAAATTATAGATATTAGGACATACCAACATCATGGTGCTGGCTTCTCATTTATGTAATGGCTGTCTAGTGGCATCCATTGTATTTAATACTTTATTAAATTGACATGCTTTCTTATTTTGTTACTACATATTGAAGATATAGTGACGGTCATTTTAATTTAAAAATAATTGATTTGTCTTTAGTGTGGCATGGGATAATAATTAACTTAAATTATACCTATCCATTAAATATTTAGAACAATTTAACATTTTACAATATATTTATTTGATATGCTTAAATTAAAAGTAATAATTAGCAGTCTTTATTCTTAAATGATTTCAAAAATTTGAAATTCTATAGCTACAGTATGAATTTCTTTATTCAACACTGATGTTTTGAAATAATTTAATTTTTAAATACGTGTTTGAATTTATAGTTTATAGTAACAGTTTGAAGACCTATAAATGAGCTTATATGATATGCAAGTCATAATATAGTAAATAGAGAAATAAGCCTCTGTTTAGTTTCCGTATGTGCATTGAGTATATAATTAACCATACCAGAAACAGGACTTTGTATATGTATATGAAATTTTCATTTGTAGGAGAAAGGGAACTAGTTGAGTTTCTGACTGAAGAAATAGTGGCAGAGCGTAAAGCACAAAAGACAAAGACTCTTCCCACCGAAGTGGATGGATTCAAAGTTGCAGGAGATGGTGCTGAAGTTGTTCTCAGCAAGCAGTTGAAAGATGAAATGTAAGTATTTTATTTTTTGTATATGTGGTATTATCAAGAAATCAGAAATCAATATATCTTTATTCAAATTGGATGTATAGTACAACACTTTTGAATCGTCCAAACATTTTTTTCCCTACCACTCTTTATTGGACATATTTTTAGCTGCGGAGAAAAACAAGCGATAAAACTCCACAACATTTACAAATCATTATGTTATTACAACGTCAATACAATCATGATTTATTTAATATAGAAAACCTGTTGGAATGATTGGGACAGACAAAAACCCAAGCATTTTTGTCTGTAATATAATCAGACACTTTGTAATAAGCTTATTTAATAAGTGCTTTTTTTACACTATCTTTGAATTTATTTATGCTTAACTCTTGGATATTGCTTGGTACTTTATTGTATAAGCGAACACAACGACCTTTAAATGAATTATTGATTTTGTGAAGCCTAGTAGCAGGCAAAGTTAGTTTATTTTTGTTTCTTGTATTAAGTGTGTGAACATCACTGTTTTTAAGAAACAAATTAATATTTTTTCTTACAAGTAATAAATTTTCGTATTCTTACAAGTTATAAATTTTGTATAGCATCCTTACTTGCAACATTTGTTCTATCATCAATATAGGCTGACATAGTGGCCCAGCGACTAAAGCCTTTAAAACAGATTAAAAAAAGCACCATTATATAGAATATGTTTCATTTATGAATTGCCTTTAAATAATTCAAAAATGAAACATTTCTTAGATGTTTCATATGTATTTGGCTATTTTACTTTTCGCCTTTAGGACAATCTTGTACACCTAATACTAATTACTATATTGTTCTAATATATTGATCCCAACAAATGCACCAATAAGGGTAAAGCATCGAAAGAAAATTTCAATGTGGAATAATCTGAGAGAAGAGCTTCTTATTGAAAAAGTTATCTCACAACCTTAGATTAAAACAAAAAGGGTAGATACGGCACTAGCCTCACAAAAGTGATCCGCATAAATTGTGGTCCATGGCCACAATCGCTTTAGTCACAACTTGACATGCAAATGACGTACATGTGAACGTCAAAAAGAAATTTTGCTAAAATTTTGTGATTATATGATAAAACAATGCTTAAGTGTTGTTTTAAAAAGTGCTCAAATTGCTCAAGTACTAAAAATAAAACCGACGGCAGCACTTTCCATTCGTATGTACTATAAAATATATTTTTTCATAAAAATGCTGTTTGTTTTGAATCTTATTCGGTATTTGTTATTAAGAAAAAGACAACAACACTTGTAAACGTTTGTATGAGGGAGAAAAAGCATAAGCGCGAATATTTGCCATTGTAATGTCAGTCGAGAGTAAAAATTGGGTAGAGTCAACAAAAAAAATATTTAGTAATTTTTTTTGGAATATTAATTTATGTAGGTAAAAAATATGCTGCATTTATTAAACTCATTACATTTTGGTTTCTTCGAAGAGGTTTATTTATTTTTTCAGACATTTTAGCTTTAATATACTCTGTACTTACAGAAATGGGGTTTTCATTCTTTGTAGGGTTTAAAATTGTTTTTGTAATCTTCTTCTTCTTCCAGTGCCTCTTCAATTCTAAAGGTTGGCCGTTGGCTTCTTGTATGTAGTTCTATCAGCAGCCAGCCGGAACAACTGTTCTTTATACACAGTCATCCCTTAACCTGTCAGTACCTTAAGACTTCTTTCGATTTAGAATGGTTCTATGTTTTGGAAACTAATACCAAAAGGATAGAGCGCGTGAAAGTTTGGGAGAGAAGGCTTGTAAAGTCACTTCTAAGTAAAAATTGTACCAAGACGTGACGTCATGGGAAATTTCATATCAACATATCTCTGTAATGTTTTGATTATGTGAATAAGAAATAAATACTTGTCCAATACTTTTATTAATCTATCTGGCCGACGAAGAAAAAAAGGTTTTGTCATCAACCCTATTGCCACACAGTAGGTAGGTACCTAGTAAGATTCTTACTTCTGTTATAAAGCCCAAGGCATAACTTATGTTTATTTTTATTTATCCATGATGATTATTGTTTTTGTTATTTAATTTTACCTTTATATTTTTGTATTATTTAAATGAATAATTTAAAGTATAGTTTAGATTAGATTTATAAAACAAGCAATTCATGCTTAGAAGAGAAATATAATAAGTGTTTCGGATTAGATTCTTTTAAATACTGTAGACGATGAAAATTTCCAAATCCAGCAGTATAAGATACCTTAAAAAAATGTTGACGTTATCATACAAAAAACCTACTTTTAGTAGGTATACTTGTAAACAGTTTCATTCCCTCAGCTTTTCAAAGTAGATTGAAAATTGCTCAATGTGGTTTTTTTTTATTGAATTTTAATAAAAAACTTATATTTAATAAAAAATACTTTTATTTTTTTCTCTGACGCTACTCTGTAGTGACGTCGAGTACTGGTCGCGTGATTGGTCGGTAGCGCAGTGACGCGGATCTCGCCGTCTCGTTCGCGCTGCAGTTGAAACTTATATTGCTGTTTCGTTCGTTCGATTGTATCTTTACAAACAGGTGGATGTGTGAGTGTTGCATATGTAGTAAAGTGGGATCAGTTTTTGTTAGATGCAAGTAAGAGCGTACCGTATCTACCCTTTTTGTTTTAATCTAAGCTCACAACCCCCAAAGAGCTACAAAATATTCTGCTTATTATCTCATTCATTTATTGTTATTATCATTTATATTATTTTTGTTGGTTGCTGTTATATAATTCCCTGTATACTTGCCACTCTGGTCTCTTGATTTACTGAAGAGCTCCAGCGCCACATACAGGGTACATTGTCACCGTAATCACATCCAGGGACAGGTAGCCTACTGCTGTGTTTCTGCATAAAAATATGGGACAAAAATCCAGTCAAAAATTTGTCTTGATTTCTGTAAATATTATGTATGTTATCCTGGGGCCCAATTGTGTTCATTTTTTTGCTTTTGCCATCACTTTCAACTTCATACTTTGGGAAAGAGCTATGTTATGTCACATTGACACAGACATTCTTTAGCTATGAAGGGGGAGCGAAAGTGATTTGTTAGACAATTTACCTCCAGAGAATCTTCAGTAAATTCGAAATGATTATAACATAAAACAAGTAAAGTAACTAACTGTAGCATTATTTGTACATATAAGAACAAGGATATTTTCAAGCTTAAGAAAGGCTAGAGAAAATTCGACACGGCCATCCGGGCCGTGGTATCATTAATGGTCAGAACAAGGATATTTTCATTTTTGTATGATTCAGAGTTAGACATTGCCTTACTTATAAATAACATAACCTTGTCACAACAGAGTAAGGATCACCTTCAATGTGAATCACACAGTGGATTCCGAAGACTTTGGTGAAGGCGAAGTTCAGCCCGATAAGCAGGAATTCTCAGAGATGCGTTCCCGGCCGCAGTTCGAGGTAGATTTGGTGCGTGGAGACACCACCCTGGGCTTCACCTGCTCGTTCCTGCAGGACCCACCACCAGCTACCGGCGACGAGTACAGTCAGTATTTTAATTTTTTAGCCTCGTAAATACTTTTGATATGCCGGCCATTGACTTAGCTATTCGATGTAAACTAGGCAACAGTCACCCCTTTTACACTCCCCATAGAGGGCAACCTGTTGTCAAAATTACAAATACAAATAGCCATGGCAAGTGCTGGGCAAAGTATACAAAGTCCCTATCACACTAATATTACAAAGGTGATAGTTTGTGAGTGTGTATGTTTTTTACTTCTTCACGTCTAAACGGCTTGAGCGATTTTAACAAAAGTTAGCTGACACCTTGGATGTTTAACTGAACGCTTAAGTTTTAAAGAGCAATATTCTATAAGAAAATATAATAGCTGTGGTAAACATAGCAGTAAAACATAGCCTATGTGTTAATATAATACCTACCCTACCTAGCCTAGCCTACTATTAACACACAGGCTATATTTTACTGGAGGAAAATATCAATCAACCGCGGGTAACACCACAGGGCACAGCTAGTATAGAATAATTGTTTGTCAATCTTCTTCTCTTTTTGAGAAGAACTCGCATTATTACTTAATAGTTTATTAATATCTCTCAGATATAATGTTATGTTGCATTCTTGCTCAATCATAATTGTAACAAGTACCACAGCTATTATATTTTCTTATAGAATATTGCTCTTTAAAACTTAAGCGTTCAGTTAAACATCCAAGATCCAAGACAAGATTTATTCAACATAGAAGCTGTTTCTATACCAATCAAGAAGCTGTATTTATATCTATATTCAAAATGATGTAATAGAAGGTGCCTTCAGAACTATCTCTAAAGTCATTTTTCAACTTGTCATCTCTGTATATAAATAATACAGAGACAGAAAAACAGCCATTGCTGTTTTCTTGGCGGTTTTTATCAGTACAAGGTCTCCCGCTGTAGTTTTGCGAACCGATGGCGTAGCTGCTTGAATTCCACAAATGCTTATCACAGCCTTCTTCTCAGTCGCTATCTTCATTGCTGAAGGTCGTGTCTAACTCGAAATGTTGACCACCTGATGTACTATGCCTCTCCACGCATTCCTGTCCTCGGCAGTCTTTATAGCCTTGGTTATTGATAGGCCAGTGAGCGACTTTACTAGGTCTGACCAGCGGGTGACAGGCGACCGACTGCGTGATCTTCTCCCGTCAACCTGGCCAACCACCATCAGCTTCTCTAGGCTGTCAGTCAGGGTTTCTGCGAGCGATGTGTCCGAAAAATCACAGCCTAGAAGACTGAATAAATGATTTTTGAGTTGGAGTTTCGTGACTGATAATAATTACCAGTCACTAAACTGTGGTTTATAATGTTATTCATCTTCTTTTCTCTTATATTACAGATGACATCTTTGGCATCGATGAGATAACAATTTACAAAGGCGAGTGGAATGACAAAGTCTACGCAGTCGCCGGCGACGTACTAGATGGGGTTAGTATTGTGCTCAAGTCATTTGATTATAAAATATCAATTCCAACCACATATATTAGTTAACTGTAGAGAAAATACTTAACACCATCCAAAACATAAAAACATTTGAATTTGTGGTTAAAAGACACGGCAAAAAATACACATAATATTATGCCTTTTCACAACTTTTATACACTGATTTATCCACCCACTTATACTAGCATTGTTTTAAAACAACAAAAAAAATATTACAAAAGATGTAGGCACTACAATTTATTTTTATTAATATTGTCTATATCTATAATAATAATATAAAGCGGAAAGATTTATTTGTTTGTTTGTATTGAATAAGCTCCAAAACTTCTGGGCCGGTTTGAAAAATCCTTTCACGTTTAGAATCCTACATTATCCCGGATGAACATAGCCTATAGAGTATTTTCAAAAAAGTTAGGGTTCCATATAAAAAATTCGATAATGTTACCCAGGGTGTGAAAGATAACCTTAAATCGCTTGCGCTGCGGAAGTCATTGACTGTAGAGCAAAGTGATGTACTAAAGTTTTATAGAGAACATCAATATCTACAAAAAAGTCCGCGGTACCATATGTCTAACTATTACAGTTGAGTCACAACGAAAGGTCTCCTGCGGTTTCACCCGCGTTAATTTGAGGAAAAGGGTTATGGTGAGCCAAACTTAAAAGATGGGCATATGCTGTCGCGGACTTTTAAAGGGGAACAATTCTTGATTTTTGTGTAACTTTATTCATTTCTGCAAAGCTCCTACTAGCCGCAGCGTGATGTTATATAGTCTTAAGTCTTCCTCAATAAATGCACTATTTAACACAAAAATATTTTTTCAAATCAGACCACTAGTTCCTGAGATTTGCGCGTTCAACCAGTACATTCGGTACGACGGGTCCTAAAGTACACAACAAAATTTTCACTATCAGTTAAATAAATTTTCATCTAAAGTTTATATTTATATAAAGAAATTCATTTTGTATAATACAAGCCTGAGAACAAAAACTATAGTCTACCTACACTACAGCTAAGTGAAGCGAGGGCGAGCCACTTGTTTAATAATAAAGTGCTTTATCGACTTTGTCTATGTGTCAAATCTTTTAAATAATTGTAATATATTTTACATAATATTTGACAGATTTTAAGACTTGTATAAATATCACAATCAAACACGGCAAAATGTGTCAGGAGTATTTTGTTTTTTTTGCTTTTAGTAGCCTAATATTATTACTTATGAATTATAGTTGTTTTTATTTATTTTTAAGCATTTAACTGCTAGATGTTTAAATCTAAAGAAAAGTCCTTATCAATTTTTATATTTACAAATATTGATTTTTCTGTACCCATTTTAGTACCCCAACATTTCATTCTGTTAATGTTGAAACAGACCATTTTTTATTTGTATTCTGAAAGTTGAAGAAGTTTCACTTCTTTCCATATTTTAACCGTTCAAGGTATTCGTTTCCAGAAATCCCTTTCATACAAAACCAATCAACTTGTCGCGTTGCATTCGCAAATTTTTGTTACTTACAGCCGTTTTTGATTACGCACGACTTCGCTGGCTTATATTTAAGAATAAAAAGCTCCAGAGCATTAAGATGTTTAAGAACAGAAACAAATATTCCATAAAATCTATGCGTTAAATATATTTCGACATAAATAGGATACTTTTTAAAAGCAGTTGTAATAACAAAATAATGTTAATAAAAATTTCATCTAAATCTGTTTAATTCTTTTTGCGTTATAGAAACATTCGGCCAAATAATACAGTTATACAGAAACGCACAAACTTTCACATTTCAAATAAAGTAAAAAAATTGTAGTACTTTAAGGTATAGTTAGCTATACACTTTTCGTCAAATTAAATCTGACGTCGATAGCCCAACGGATACCACGTTTAGTTCAACTCCACGATCCCAAGTTCGAATCCCGAGTCACACACGAAACCAATAATCACCCCTTTTCTATGCCACACTTGGTTCTGCAACAACATGCAGTCTCAGGTGCCAAAATTGGGGAATATTAATGCATCAATTTGAAGTTGATTACCCTAAATAATATATGGGTGATATTCAAAGAAATGCAACATTATTTTTCTTGTATTGTTTTTAATTTATGATCTGAACTGAACTGATAAATAATTATAATCTTTATGAGGTTGTTGAGGGTTGTGTGAAATAACAATAATTTTCCCTATTTATATTTTTTTGTTAAGCGCCATCTATTGTAATTTATTAAAACTTTCCATTTCGTTTCAGCTATTCATAATAGTAAAATATCAGTTTCTCTTTGCTGTAGTACGTTTACTTTACCCTTTAAGACACTTTTAAAATAAAAAAAGTTATTATCAACTATATTTTAAATAACTAACACAGAATTACATAATTATGTCCTGAGATAGATAATAATATTGTATTGTTTTATTTCCAGTACCTGTATGATCTTCTGATGAACGTCCTCGAGGAGAAAGGCGTGAGCAACGATTTCGTCCAGAAGCTATCCGATTTCAGCACTGCATATGAACATAGCGCTTACATCAATCTGTTGGAGACCATTTCCAAATTCACTATCGGCAAACAGTAACTCCGTGCCTAGCGCACAGATGGCGCTTACCTTTTCAAATGAATATGACAAAGAGGATGTATGTCATATTCAGGGTTCCAACAAAAATGCCAGTCGCAAATATTTTATTCTCGTTTTTTTTTAATTTTTATGTATGCTCAATTGCTTACCTAATGTTAAATATTCCTGATGAAGCATTACAATTAGATCTTTCGATTACGGAGTAATTTTAATCAGATTTTTGTTTTCAATGGCAGACTGAATTTTTTGGACCTTAACATAGCTTTATAAATACCAATTGATATAGGTTATGTTATATGAATGGAATGGACGGCATTTATTTCCTGTAGATCAGCTGAAGAATGTTAGTTTAATTAGTCAACACAGATTGTGTTATTTGTTTACAAAGTTAGTGTTAAATATGTTTAGTTATAAAACTGTCTGAATAAATGTTAGAAATAATTTAAGTTACTTATTTCGCCCTAACCCGCATATAGCAAAAAAATTACACCCCACTTGAATTTTTGTTGATTGACTAGCGGACTAGATACGGATGTACCTACTGTCTGTTAAAAACTTAAAATGAAACAAAATCCCTCAGAATAGGAAATTTCCTATAAAATAGTTTCATTTTTCCCGTAAGAAGCTTCCACAAAGTTTAGAAAAAGAAGTAACGGATCAGTAGATTCGTTCTCAAGTCATAGTGTGGCCAAGGGAAATGGCAATTGTGTCTGATAAGTTAGCAAAAATCGAATTTGATAGGACACGTTACCTACGCCTCAATATACGTCAGATTAGCTGTTTAGTAGCAGGAGGTAGCTAATACTGTTTCCGACTATTACCCGGGATCCCACCAACCTATAAATCCTGTTCTCTAACGACTCTCCTAGGGGAGACATCACGATTTCTATAGTACTGCTGTCTCCCCTGGGTCGGGGAGACATCAGATCTTACTAATAAAATTGTATATTGAGTACATACCCGTATATCACTTGTCAAGCTTACATTAAGACCATACACATGTATCGAATAATTATTTTGAAAAAGTACCAGGGGAACACATAACTAAGCGGTTCTGGTAATGAAAATAGCAAAAACAACTTTTTCTTTATAATATTCGATCTAATAATTATTATCCAAAAACTAGATCAATTATAATTGGTCTAGTTTTTGGTCAAGAGTAAGTGGTTATATGACAATGACAGATTCTGACCCACCATATACAGTAATATTAAATTTATGAAAAAATATATACGACTTTTTTTCTCGTACTGTGTTAATTATTACTTTGTAAAAGCGGCGGATACGAAATAAATATTGAAATAATTTGTATCTACTGGTTCCATCTCCCACTACCCTTAGGCTAGGAAAGAAAAGATTATTCTGAGATATCTAGAATATAATTTGAGAATAGCTTCATAGTTTTTCAAAAGTCCCGGTACCTTTCCTATCACCTCGCCTCTGTCAGCTGACACGCGGCCGTTTTTTTGTCAGCAAAAGTCAATCAGCTGTTAGCAAATGAACGTGAAAATATATCTGACACCTTTTAACTTATTTAAATTCCATTCAATATTTGTTGACTGACAGAGATCAATATATTTTTGCACTTCATTTTTCTTAGTGAATATCCATTGGATATTGCAGTAATCCAATCTACCAATGATTTAAAGCTCTGAAGTATGCTCACAATACTAACAGCTGATTGAACCAATGGGAAGCTAAAAACTGACGTGAACATCGTACATAACCCGAAGGGTATCTGTCAAATATTCGCAAAATGTAGAGAGCGTAGAGAGTTTTATTTTATCTGGCCAAAATGGCTGACGCGTCGTCGCCGTTGCGTGGAAATAAAATACCTGATAATTTGTACGAATTGTGTTTGACGAATTTAGTGAACTATTTGCAAAAATGTAAATGTGAGCGAAGTGTTCTGCGGACACTTCCAGATAGTGTTCTCATGGATGTTTACTTTAAGGTGAGTACGAGCCTAGCATGATACAAAAACAGTCTGGTAGTCAAATACCGTTATGTTTAATATGCTCTGATATTCTGGTTCACAGCGCAGTAAAAATCTAAAACAACATACGATTATGGTATAAATTAGAGTAAATAGCATTGTTTTTAATTAAAATATGAAGTGGCCGTGAACCCATTATTTGCAAGTAGGTAGGTAGGGGTACTTACCACTTTCACTGTTTTCTGCTATCTAGACTTGGTTCGTCATAATTCGCTGTTCTTTGTTACGAAATTATTTAGCACATGTTCGCTATTTAACTTATCGAAAGCATTAATTAAGGATTGAAAACTAATTTGATGTGTTTATTATTGTACTTGGTATTATTTGGTATGGAGTTTAATTGCATCATTGCTGTACTGCAAAGCATTATGTATGGTTATTTATGCATTACTTTAGGAATAACTTTAAAAAAGTAAAGGCCAGAGTGTTGCCTATTAGCAGAGACTTATGATAGCTGTTTATGTATATAGTTTTACCTACTGCTTGTTTATTGAACATAACAAACAATAGTTGTATCATCATAAATATTACTTTATTAATAGGTAATATTAAAATTGTTACATATTATTATTATTATTACCTATTGATAAAGTTTTATTGTTACAATCAAAAATATTAAATATAAATCATCATCAGCCTATTAATGTCCCCACTGCTAGGACACAGGCCTTCTCTATAGATGGAATAGGGAGATTGGGCAATGACCCACTACGCAGGCCCAGTGCAGATTGGGGGGTGCTAACGACTGCAGTTGCAGCCGAGACCAACAGCTTAACATGCCATTTTTCTGGCCCTTCCTCAGCCTTTGCTGTAGCATGCTTGCTTCACTTGCTCACTAGCTTGCAGTTTGGTCAAAACACAAACCTAACTAACCTTCTGTAAAGTGTCAACTCCCACCCACAAGCCTTACAGTTTGTCTGAAAATGGTACCTTGATGCTTGTGGGTAGTAGGTTATTAATTTTCTAGATTGATTCTGTGACCCTGATTAATTAGTTTTGTTTTTTCTCTGTTTATTGAGTTCCTGATAGATAGGTATAAAAATACAAAACATTGCATAGCTCTAAGATATGAGTCGTATAGTATCAAAGGCGGCAAAGTAGGGCCAACCAAATATTTGGCAAATCAAAAAAAACTGTTTAGTCTCGTCTTTAAGGGAGGATAAAATATTGACATTTCATTACGATTTGTAGTTATGATGAATGTCAATTATAAAAATCCTCCTTTAAAGATGAGACTAAACAGTTTTTTTTTATACTATACGACTCATATAATGTATTGTATGTACAATGTATCTTTAACATTACAATAAATAATATAATATAAAATGGCTTCATGTTTTTTGACCTAGATGCATAATTATCTTTCCTATTGGTATTTCCTTGTATAAGTCAGCAAAAAATAATTCTGTTTTAAGCCGATCCAACATTATTTAGTGATGTCATTCACATTTTAGACTTGACCGGTTGCACCAAGGTTACATTTTCTAATCTCATTATGTTCACTTAACATGTAAGGAAGGTAGGCTGAGTTTCTGGAGTGAGTTAGAGGAGTTTCTTAGTAGGGACATAACCATAGCTTCCAGTGGATAATGTTGGCATTCAATAAATAGAAGAGTCAATCGAACTTCAGGATTTTCGTACCCATATGCGTGTTGATTTATATTATTCAAATAAAATTGCGTCCTTAACTTGCCATTGCCAAAATATATATTGCGTAAAATAGCGCGTAATACACGATGCTGCATGTCCATCCTGGTGGCGGAATGACACTATTGGAACAAATGTAAATGTCCACCGCAATGGCACCAAATCTACTAAAGTATTCGACTGCTCTACTTTACTAACACTAGATAATTTAAACCAGCCTTAAGTGGTTAAGGTTTCAGCACTCCATAAAACTTTTAGAGTGCGGTGGCAAAACGCGCGTTGAACGCCTATCATCTGAAGCTCTCCACAACAACGGCTAACTAGAGCCAAGGTCCGAGTCTCAGAGACCTCCTCTAGTTGAGCCGACCCTCTCAGGTTTTGAGTGGTCTAGAGGCTCCGGACGGAGACTTTCCCCCGTAGGGAAATGCCATCCGCCTGGAATACGTCTAGAGGCACTTGCCAATTCTCGGCTTGATAGATAGGTCCCCTTTGGATATCGCCGTCCCCAAACCCAATGACACACACCAAAAAAACATCTGAACGCGCTCTTAGTGAGTAAAGTTCCAGCGCTAAACGAAGTTTTCAAAAATTTCATTTCATCCCCATTATCTTGATGCGTGGCTATCGAAAGTTTTTAGTTTTTATCGTTTTGTCGAAATTTTTTACCACGTACGACAAAACTGTGGAATACGTTGTCGCCAGCAGTGTTTCCGGACCGATACGACCCAAAAACCTTCAAAAAAAGAGCGTACTCCTTCCTTAAAGGCTGGCATCGCATTTGTGATACTCCTGGTGTTGCAAGTGTCCATGGGCGACGGTGATCACTTACCATCAGGTGAGCCGTCTGCTCGTATGCGCCCTATATCATAAAAAAAAAAGTTGCATATTGTTTCCGATTGCCGTTACCAGACACGGCAACTTTAGTTTCCTGTGGTACGCTATGTCGGTACAAAGCAAACGGCTACTTCGTCCGAATTCCTATTGCTTAACTGTGTAAGTTTTCTCAGACCCGCTTCCCTGATTCGTACGACTCCACCACGTGTAATCCCAAAAAAGGTAAAAATGCAAGATTTTATATCCTGGCAACTGCTCCCTGTTTCGGGACAATATCTTATGCTAGCAGTTCACATGGCTATTCGAATTTGCAATTTGTTAAAGTAACGACAGGGCCTTCATCATCATTAGCCTATAATGTCCCCACTGCTGGGGCACAGGCCTTCCCTATGGATGGAATAGGGAGATTGGGCCATGACCCACTACGCAGGCCCAGTGCAGATTGGTGGGTGCTAACGACTGCAGTTGCAGCCGGGACCAACAGCTTAACGTGTCATTTTTCTGGCCCTTCTTCAGCCTTTGCTGTAGCATGCTTGCTTCACTTGCTCGCTAGCTTGCACTTTGGTCACAACACAACAAACAAACCTTGTGTAAAGTGTCAACTCCCGGGCACAAGCCTTACAGTTTGGCTGAAAACGACAGAGCCTTATTAACAGTTATTATCATATTCTATAACTCAAATTTACAACTATGTGATGCGTCATCGTAACCATGGCCTAGCAAATGCCAAATATCGTTTGCGATGTGGCGTATGGAAGTGATAATATGACTGGAGTCGTACATTGATGACCGCAAGAGATATACACACATCAAAAGTGTCTAGGGATCAACATATATTTTTGCAATAACTTTTCTCCTGATTGATATTAATTAAAATTTTCTTTAAGGATTCATCAAATAAAGTGTTTTCGTTTGTCACAGTAACGATAAACCAAGTCACCTTTGCATTAATAAAGAAATTTGCCATTTTCCTAAAAAAGGGATTTTTGACATTTGAACCACTAACACAAAAGTTCGAAAAAAAGACTGAAATAACAGTTTTCTCTAAAATTTTATTGGGTAACTTAAACAATTAATAATCCGTATTTCTACCGCGAACACTAACAACACAAGAACATCGGTTTGGCATACTCAAAATGAGTTCATCCAAATCACGCTGTGGAATGGCCGCCCATGTTCGTTGCAACAACAAAAAAAGGTCTTCTTGCGACTGGATACCCTCCATATTCGGCAGAGCTCTTCTCTGTAGCATATCCCATGCATGCTCAATCGGGTTCAAGTCTGGCGACTGAGCAGGCCAGGGCAGGACATTGATGTTAGCTGCGGCGAGAGTCTGTCTTACAACTCTTGCGGTGTGCGGTCGTGCATTATCATGCATTAACTGAAATAAGGGACCGATTTGCACTTGTAGAGGAACGATGACGTGTGATACAATCGTCTCAGCATAAATTTGAGCGTTGAGGTTGCCTCTGATCCAAATCAACTCAGTTCTTCCGCCGATCCAAATACCCGCCCATACCATGATGGTTCCACCACTATAAGGATGGACTTCCTGGCAGGATTTTAATCGCTGTTGGCGTCCAGGGGTTCTCCAGTGTCGTATACGTCTTGTATCCGGTCTCATACCAAAACGAGACTCATCAGAAAAGCACACGAAACGCCATTGTTCTTCTGCCCAATTTCTGTGTTCAAGAGCCCATTGATATCGAATCCTACGATTGTGCATTGCTATAGGTGGTACCCGTAGCGGTCTTCGGGAATGAAGGTTCACTTCATGCAAGCGGTTTCTGACTGTTTGGTCGCTAATTAAGTTCCCTGAAGAGTGATGAAGCCTCACGGCTAACATCATGGCGGTTATTGTTGGAGCTTTTCGAGTTAAGATTTGAATGTATCGGTCTTGTCTCCGTGTGGTGCAGCGATACCGTCCTCCATGGCGCTCAGCCACGGTACCAGTGCTTCGGTATCGTGTCCAAAGTCGACTGATAACACTCTGACTTGTATTCAGAGCTAAAGCCACAGTACGTTGCCGGGAACCAGCTTCTATCATTCCCACGGCTCTGAGCATTTCTTCCCTGCTTAAATGACGTCGCCGCTCCATAATAACGTTGGTTTTAATCAGTAGTAGGGAAACAGTAGCACTAATAATGTCTTCAATGCGTTGTATGTTTTTATAGGGAAAATATTGACAGCTGATTTTCATCTTTTACTCGAATTTGATTCACAGTTCCTGATTCAAATTATGAAATGCACCAAAAAGGATCCATATAAATTTATAAAATCATAAATTTATTACAAAGCCACATCTCAATCTCAAGAAATCCGCATAAAAATGCTTGATCCCTAGACACTTTTGATGTGTGTATATTCTTTTCAGTCTGTTGTTATAGCTAGGTAATGGTGTCGATTCTGGCACGATTTTCTAAATCTAAACTTAAATTTGACAACAGTGTATCCTTGTCTTTCTCTATACAGCTTGA